GGCACAAGTCGACGGGTTTACGGACAATATATTGAATAAGAACTCAAAGTTACCGCACAATATCTATTAGAAAAGCGAATGCCCAGTGCACTTTCTACTAGAGCAGTAAGCAAAAGTAACGAGCAAAAGTTACGATATCTAGTATGATATAACAGTTTCGCCGCGCCGCCGCACGCCCCTTCTGTAGGTTCACCACAGCCACCCGATTTCATTTCCCATTCGAATTTGGAATTTCAAACGATGTGAGTGATCTGATGACATACTTAACCCTTCAGACTTCATTTTTTGTTTCAATATAGTTCAGTTTTAGAATTAGACTAATCTCGAACGTTAATGAATCTTTGTGATACACGGGCTCACAAGACGTGCGTTCTCTCAACCTACTTCTTGAATGTCGCAGCCGTACAAGCAACAACCGACTTTATCCACAACCGCAAAAAGATTAAATCATTATCTCGTCGTCAGCGTTCTCATTCTGACAATTAGGAACTGCGTTCGGTTTGTCGTAGGATTGTGTGCTGTACAGCTTTGTACGAAGGCGTAGACTTACTTGCGGTACGTTGTATGAAACACTGTACATGTTCCATTCAACCATGAACTCCTTTGAGGAGCGTCCCGCGTAGAGACCTCAATTTTTTAAACTCTCTCGCTTATTGGTCAATCAGCTTGACATTTATATGGGAGTTAAATGCTAAAACTACAATATTGTTACAATAAGGGGTTATTGCGAAAACACCTTCGCCGTATTAGCTAATAACTAGTAAATTAATTGTAGAATTATGGGACTATCACATAATCCATCTCTGCTGCTATTATTATCATAGTTGTAACATATTTCGTAGTGACACACGCATCAGTTGGCCTGTAAAAGCAAACAGTGTCAAGGTGGCTAATATTGATTTCAAGCTTGTAATGAGTACAAATAATATAACACATGAATTATAATATTTTACATAGTGTTGTGGTTCAATATGTTTACGGTGAGTTATGGTACTTAACGTCCACACGTACCATTGCACAAACGTTCATTACTTTAATGCTCGATGAAGTAACATACTGTCTCTTGTTTTGTTTTGATGAAGTAAATTACTTTTATGTTTCAAGATCTCGCTGTAAAGGGCCTGATTTTTTTGTCTGCCGTTAATGTTGAATTTTGATAATTTGTATAGCAGTCTCATCTTAATTACAATGCAATTAATTATAAGAAATTTGTAAGAAAATTAAAAATATGATGACCTTCGTGGACCAGGGGTTTGCACTTTGGGGGCTGGGGATGACAAGTTTCCGGGTTCGATTCCCGGTAGGAATAATTTGAGAAATTAACTTTTCTAAATCTGGGTGTCTAGGACTAATACAGGGAATTCCCTACTTTAAGTCTGGTAATTGTTGTGATTGTCTGGCACATTATTATTTATTTTATTCTAAAAAATATAAAAAGATAAAATTATTATTTATTATATTCTAAAAAATATAAAAAGATAAAATTTACTTTCAATATATTAGTACATTTCTGCATTCATTGCGTTTGTACCAACGATATTACTATCTATAGAGAATTTAAATACAGAACGCACATTCGATATGACACAATTTCGACAGCCCACAACTTCGACTGAACACTGCGCCGACAAAACAGTAAGGCATTAGTTTCCCGAATTAGAGTTCCTATCATATCGGATATGGGTACCTTAAAATTCTATGTGAGCTATGTGTTATTGTAACGTAACGTACTTAAACTTATAAACATTAATTTTAGTTACGTATCATTGTCTTGCAAACGTACATACATATATATACTATGCGCTTAGTACAACTGTTATTTTTACAAAGAAAACAAATTCATATAATTATTATTTACCTTTATTTACTTCTAGTTGCGCAGACTACAAGTATGCATAGAAAATGAAAACTTCAATGTTTTTATTTTTTAAAACGTTTTTGTAATATGTTTTTCTTTTGTTTCAGGAATTTGCACACGTAGGTCGCGAGCATTACAAAACTGTAAGTAGACGTGTTCAGCGATTTGCAAATTATTAACTTCTAATTAGCATAACACGTTAGTTTTTGTTTTGTTAGATCAGAGCTTGCAGACAGCGAACATGAATATATAAATTCTCAATTGTATATACGCAAATTGTGTAAGCGCAGTAAAGTTGTCCGTTGGTTGCTTAACCAGATGCATCTCGCTCGATGTCGCTGTGCGTGAGAGTTGAATTTCTCAACAGTTAGAGAATTGGAGAGAAGCGAGTGCTTGGCGCGGCGACGGCGGTTTCCCAATAGAAAGTCCTCTGATGCAGGAAACGCAGGCGCAGCGCTGCAGTTAAGCGCACGTGCAGCCAGCAGAGGGGCGCCCGGCCGATGCACTTTCGTGCGGTGACGTCATATCTACCTTTCGTCAGCGTCACGCCGCAGCCCGTAAGAGCTGTTACGCAATAGACGCGCACCATTCAACTTTCCAATTTCGACAACGCGCTATTGTGTAGCGCTTTCAAATTTTACTATATACCATCGCTTCTTAGCGCTTTCTTACGTTTCTCTCTTCGCGGCTGAAAAATGCTCTGAATGTAGTGAACAAGCGCAACACTCGCGCTGCACTTTCACTGTTGCGTTTCGCCTTTGTTTAAAATTGGTTGTTTAAATGTAACAATGTGTATCTACCAACACCATTTTAGTACTTTGTTTTGGATGTGTAACAGTTTAAGTTACAAATTGGGAATTAATGTGCGCAGTTTCACGCATTGTATTTTGAGCAAAGTACTTTCACGTACAAATGTGGTTGGGAAATTTTGAAAGTTACACCTAAAAGTACGCGTGACAGCAGCGATGTCTCTGTAGGGTTTTCTCTGAGCTCGATAAGAGCTTTCTCGGCTGCTAACGTGATACTCGAGAGTAAACCGTGACACAGCTCTATTGGCCGATCGTTATATACAACTTATCCAAGTTGATATTAATATTTAATGAGCTGCTGTTTTATTTCTTTAGACCGCAAAAGACTGCGAAGAATTTAATAAAAACTAATTTTACTGATATGGTAGGAAAATAAATTTTTCTAAATTTTAAATAAATAAATATTTTTTAGTACATATCATTCAATCAAAATTGTCAAATGTCCCTTCAAAGAGCAATAGAAAGGAAAGGTCAACTCGCATCATGAATGAGAAAGTCAAGCATGGAAAGTACGCGCGAGAGTACCTGCGTTTACCCGAACAATTTCTAAAAAAAATTATCGATACTGAGTTCCAAATAAATGTATTTAATTTTAACGGAGTTACGAAACTATGCACATTCAAATAGAGAGGAGATGGAAATTGGTAGTAATCATTTTGTAATTCAGCCGTAGGTAACAAAAAGGCAAGATTAGTAAAATACAAGAAAAAAGTGTCGTAAATAAAAAGCAATGTTGCTAGAACAACGTATACACGAGTTTTCTTTGAAACAATCATTAAAACCGTAACTATCGATTCGCTGATCGTTTATGTGCTAATATGAACTGCACGTGCAAGTCGTAGAAAATTTAATTCTAACGTATATTTGAAGGTAACACGGTAACACTATATACTACATAACAAAGATGACGAGTATTGTGCCTGTGTTAATAAAAGACCTCAAAACAGGGGGCGAGGGGAGCAAAGGTGGATACGGATGGGGTTTAAACCGACCCAGTGCCCTTGATGCAGCGATCCAGGTCATAGCATGCCCTGGAGAGCGATGACGCGCGACCGCGCCCTACAATTAAAACAAACATCTAATATGCAAATGTGTCCCACAACATCTAGCAGAGCTATTTGAAGAAACCGACTTTTTAAATTAGAAACCTAAATCCTTATTTCGTGTCATGGGCGACAGGTAAAAAGTTAAAGACATCTTATACTGAAGAATGATTTAAATTAGAGATCGGTAAAAAACAGCTACGTTTTGAGAAACATGTTAGAGTTCGGTAAAGGATGAAACAAAATAATATAAAAAACCGAGCCAGTATCGAGGAATCCGAGGCCGAAGGGCCTTTTCCCTTTGGGAAGTTAACCCTGAAGGCCCAGCCAAGGTCAACGGGTGCCCGGTCTTGGGGAGATGACTCGATGACTTTGAAGAATATTGGCGGTCGCATTTAGGTATTCTGTAGCAGTAGCCAATGAACGCGTTATGAGTCTGCAACGAACGACTTAACCGTCTTAAATGTGTACATAGTCACTATGACATTTTCATATTCTTATTGAGCAGTTGTGAACATAACACAAGACAATCGAACGAAACCAAAGATGGATTGGTATATTTTTGTTACCGTCTGCCACCTACATCAACAAACTAATAGACAGGAATAAAATAATAATATTATAAGTATTTGAAATGTTATTGCTCTTATCGTATACGGTGGTTAAAGTCGCGACTGCATCCTTTACTGTAACGTTGAATGTGACTTGTAATTTGTTCGTTGAACTCACTTCGCATGGTGAGTGTTCGATACAAATTAACTCAAGTTATAAGTAGAGCCAGACTCGTTGTGCAGGGCTCAATCCTCACGGGGGCAACAACTTCTCCTTTCGTGCACTGAACTAACTGCAACTGAATAATTTAATCTTCTGCTTTATTTCTTATCAAATACTTTGGAAGGAAAGCCTACTACGTATAATTTGGTACTACATTGATAATATGCTTTTGTTTTTTTTTTGTGATATCGTAGTGAACTTCTAATGTTTTTGACATGTCGCCGTAGAATTTTAAGTCTATTCACATTAGTTACTTAAAAGTACATGTTCGCTTGTGAATTTGTTCTGTAGAGTTATATGTTTTGGAAAGAAACTAAATCGTGAACATACATAAGCTTTCGGCTTTCACCGCTACAATGGAGGTGCGGGACGGAGAAAGGGTCCGCGGTAGCACGGTGCGCAGCTGTCCCGCGGGTGCCGGCTGTCGGGCGCTCCGCCCTCGCTGACCCCTCGTCGCTCCGCTTGCCGCCGCCGCTCGCTCGGCGAGAGGAGCGCCCGCTAAGCACTTTTCGCGTTGGCCGATTCCAGTCGCTCGTCAGCCGCCGAGTGCACCGAGCGTCTGTCACGCCCTTGCGCGCAATCTCCCAGCCATGTGGTGAAGTGAAACTGTCAAACGTAAAATACATTTCATATACCGGTGTCGTTCGGTTCGGTTTGGTTTTGATTGCACTTTTTACTTGTTGTGATTTGTGTTGACGAAAGTGTTGTCATTGTGGAAATTTGGATTACACGAACGAATAATGGCCTTAGCCAGGTGAGCTATTTTGGTTGTTGGAGTCAACACGGAACTTGATTTTATTTTATGATCATCGAAGGACCTTCCCGGTTGAGTTAATGTTTGATTTAGAATACACGTATGATTTTTGCCTGTACACTTTTGGTTTCATGTCATATTTGCATAACAACAGTCTGTTGTTTGCTGTGACTTCATTGAATGAATTCTCTTCCTGCATCATGGTGTTGAGTTCATGTAGCCTCGCTACAATGGGCGAAAGTTGCTTTGGCCCGCACGCGCATTTAACTTTCCTTGTTGTGTAAGCTGACAAACGACAGGTAGAGGGAGCAAAGTAGAAATCGAGACACTTTTACAATTATTATTTTTGCGTTTATTCCTTATCTAATAATAACTGAATTTAGTTTCTAATTGTTGCGTTGTGATATGCGTCGTTTGACTGTTGTGTTTGTGTTGATAATGGTTATCAGAATTTCCCTTAAATCACCCTCTTACGTGTTGCGTTGATGCGATGTCGATGTTTTCTGTGTATTCCATCGCACCCTCGTTCGCAGTGCCGACCCTAAATGCTTTCTTCCCCTCGGCTATGACTATTCCTGTGTTTGTGAATCCAAATTGTATTATTTATTAGATCCTTACGATATTACTTCAATTTTCAGGCGCTGCACTCGTTTGTTTCTCCAAAAGTTTCAAACACAACAACATGTGTGGTATTAATTGCAAATCAAACATAATATTTGTTGGTAGCTCCGGCGCAGGATAAACAAACAAATCTAGCTAGAGTATTCAAAGCAGTGAGATACACAAAAGCTGACCAAGCACAACAATGGAACACCTTTACATTAAATATACGTAATTCTGTACGATATTTATACTTGTGTAGCGCTAGCAAAGGATCCGACCTCTTCCATAGCAGGTAGCGAGCAACAGAGGCCGGAAAACCTTCACTTTTCGAGTGAGACCTTTTTTTATCACTCCCGCTTTTGATTTAGAGATTTACTTCAATCCACCTTATTGTTTTGACGTTTATCATCAGGTTATGGTTGGAATTTGTCATTCAAGTTGTTTCATTATACCAACTAAAAGCGTTATCGTATTTTTGGACTTTTTCGGTGGTAAAGTGTGTTTACGTATTATATTATATTTGAGGAGTTAGTATTTGCAAGTAGAAATTAATATTTAGCAACTTCCAAATTGTGTACAGTGAATCACTAATATTCCCGTGTTAAAGGAGGGATTGCCCCGTCTGCCCTTCCCCTTGAGCTTGCGACATCTATATAAAGTTAGCGTTGGTAGGAATATAGGGATTCGCGGGGATGTGCCTTCCTGGGGTCGACAACCTCTCACCAAGGAGAATGCACGAAGGAGCATAAAAGCTGCACACAAGCGTCTTCGTCTCGACCCTCTTTATTCTTATTTGTAGCCGGCACCTCAACCCAGACAACAACCATTTAAATACTCCCAAAATACCTTTTGAAACCTCTTGTTTTATTGTACTTAGTTTTGGATTTTAAAATGTTAAGACATTCTGTATTCCATTAATGAACTACGTTGAAATCTTAACTGAAAGGTAACTAATGTGACGTGTGTGATTTCAGAAACGTTTCAAGTTTATATTGAAGAAAGTTGAAGTTGAAGATTATTATTATCGTATCTTGAAATATTCTTAAGACTATTTATTCGTCGGGACTTGTTCCTTTATCAATGTGAAATGTATTGACTAGAGACTTCCAAGCAATTTTATTCCACAGACAGTGACTAACTGAATGAAAATGCGTCTATGTACATTTTGCAGCCTTCGTTAATAAGATAAACCTCACGTTTACTATGTTACTGTTGTTAGAATAAGTTGGGCGAGGTTATTTCGCAAGAGTGTATCAATTTAGCCGAGGGCCGGTGCGCGGAGTGCGTTCACAAAGCGCCAGATTGCGGTCGAGCCCATTCTCGGTGCTCCTGTTTCGCTGACAGCGGAATGCGATAACTAAAGTGGGTTTTGCCGGCGACGTCGTCGTATTTTGGTTACGATAACACCCAGTTAAACAGAACTGTCCGTTAGCCGGAACGAAAATCAAATAATGAAACAAATTGTTCCGAATGTCCACGCCTATCTCTGTATTCACAGATATGATGATAAGCTGTGCTTTGGCTATTGTCCAATTTCGAGTAATGACGCGATTGAAGTAAATTTTATTATTTCGCCGACAATCGACATTTAAAATCTAATGAATTATTCAATCGGTTACCTCAGAAGTATAAATAGATAACAAACCGATTAAGTTAACAACATAGTTGAGCATCGATGTTACTGTACTATTAAAGTCGTTAATTTCCGTCGCTGCTTATTATCGCGCCGTTTGTGTACATTCCACAGGGCCAAGGCCGTTTGAAGAAAAAAAAATATGTTTGTTTAGATTTCTCAATTTCTGCAACATTAAAATAATGATTGCTATAATTGTTTCTCTAAAAACGATTGAAATGAAATTCCACCGCTTTCCTTCTAAAGTAAATGTTTCTTTTATGCATGTGAAACTTTTTGCTCAGTGTTTTGTTTAAACAAATAAATTCTTATGATTAATGATAATTTAATTTACGGTGAGACCATTTCTCTTCTTTGAGTGAAACTCCACAATTTGAATATCGCGTCTTTGTCAATGGAAAGTGCGTTGCTTTTCTGCGGCTCGATGCGTTGCGCCCGCGCCGTCTCTTTGTGCGATGTTCTCGATAGTTTCACTCGCACACGCCTTTTAATGCCTTGGGTTTCTTTTAACTGAACACTATTCGTTCAGTGCGGGTAAAATGTCATGGCTTCTCTGGTAAACAGTTCACAGATTGTCATTGGATTCGTTTTGAACCTAAAAACTAATCATAGGAAAGGCCAATATCAATGTCATAATTGAATATATTTTGTTGTTTGAATCTGGCCATATGAATAACATGATGCCAATCTCAAAAAAATCTTAGCTTACAATCAGGTGCTGCATTGTCTTAAAACTAAGAACCACATTAAATCTATACATCAAAGGAAGTTTAGATGGTACTTCCTGAGTTTTTGCAATCCTCCAATGCAGTTACAATTAGCGCGACTTTTTATTAATATTTTTCAATATTATCTTGAAATAAACCTACTTGCTAACCACACGAAATAAGGTTTGCGGCGACCTGTGGTGCTGCCAGTGCCGCCACGCTCCCATAAACACCTCAGCTTGATCTACTTTGTCCTTAATACCGAGGAAGTTGTCTAACATTGAACACTGACGTTTTATTACCAGGCAATGAGATTGAAAGACTGGAAAATAATTGCGTCTGACAAGATCAAATCCTTGATTCTTATAGAAAACACTTCGTTTTCCCACGGCTTTATTCGATAATATGAAAGATCACAAAATATCCTTGATGGATGATGCAAGGTTTGCTGCAATACTGCCATTACGAGCTGAAAGTAGCCCGTGAAACTGTGACGAGACCAAGTCACTCACATTCTCTCGTTTCGTATACTCAACTTGTTCAGTATTCAGCGTGTTAACATTAAGTTGTAAAATCTACGTTGCAAACTAGCAAGTTTTCTTGACTTATTGCTTATTAGACCATAGAAAACTGTTTTATTCAGTAAACTGTTGCTGAGCAACAGACGCGTCGAGAGCTGCCAATAATGGATAAAGCTAGTTATAATTTTATCCGTGGCCGATTTGTAACGTAGCAGCGTGAGGCGTTAATTTGCCGAGGGAGCAATTCGGAACGGGGACATCGCGCACTCCGGCGACTCAACCGAGCCGGTGAGAGGCAAGCGCGTTGACCCATTTTGTGCGTAAAACGGTGGGTTGGTGCTAGGAATCGATGATAAAACAGCCGAATCTCGAGGTCTCCGCGGCGCTCGCTGATGAATTCGGATCTGTGTCAGGGTCCGCCCCCGCTTACTCCCTATAATACACCCTTCGCGCCCCTCTGCCTCACACCGACAGCCAGCCCTTCGGCTGACGGTTGACTCGTAAAACTTAGCTATTTGTGTTTCACCTTCGTTACCCTTGTTTAATGATTTGGGGTTACCGATTTTCAAATTATTGGTAGAGAAATTCCATCCAATATAAACATGACACCTACATTTTGTTTACACAGTCATCTTATGTCGTTAAATGTATTATTTGTAATAATATATTCCCACTTAAAAATAGAAATGCCTTTGACATTTTAACATTTTACGTATAGGTCAATTATAGTTTAGGCAACGCGTACTTGACCAAATTTTTTGTTATTCATACGCTTCCATGAAATATTGTAGGCTTTAATATTAGAATGGCGGCCCCCACCCCTCGCCGGTATAAAGAAAAGTTGTTCAAGCTTGAGGTCAGTTCATTTACATTCAAAAGTTACTTTCAAAGGTTTCTACAACTTTGAATGCTCTAATGTTGTAACTGATTGCTGTACTAAGAAGATTTTTGGCCTAAAAATAAAAATATTATAATTAAATTTCTTGAAACCCTTAAAGTGCTCGCCTTTCCGAATCTCCTCTAATGTTTGCTTTCACGTAACAGGTCACGGTAAAAAAGACGCGCCTGAATCGCTTCATCTTAAGATGATAATGTCGATCACAATGAATGGAACCAGGTAGTGATCAAGTGGTGATCGACCTTTCCATCGGCGTCACCTTCGCGGCAGCCTGGCTGGCATTGTCGCCTCCGCCAGTAGGAAGCAACGCACAGAACGCTATTGGGCTTAAGGCCACTTTCAATGCACCATCTTTTACCTTGTGCCCCTTACTTGCGATCTGACCCGAAACCGACGTCAGCGACCGGCGCTATTGAAGCGAGTAACATACACGTTCTTGGAGACCTTTAATTATCATTTTGTTTCCCATTTTGTCAACTGTTGATAAGTATTTCAACTATAATAATTATCATAGTTTACAATATTCCACCAGCTTGCAAAGTTACCTATTCTTGTAGATATTTCCCAGTAACCAAGCGTGTAGTGTGCGCCTCGTCTATTTTTTTTTAGTCAAACGCTACTGATTTGCCATGTAGGTCAAATGCATTACGATGTCAAATTTGACCCCGTTTTCCTGCTTACGCCAAGGCATAAATTATAATTTTAAGCTTTATACAATGTTTAGCTTGTTGTTTAGGTGGGAAACCCAACTGATTTTTTGATGACAATTCTAGAGTATATATAAACTATATACAAACTTTCTTTAGACGTTCCTGATACGATATAACAATTTACACACGAGGCAATTTATAACCACGCGACGGATACTAATTAACGCATTGTTAAGATGTAGGAAAGTAGAACGGGGGCGTCAAATCCAAGGTCTCGGACGTAGCTGAACAAATTTTATTTAAAACAATCAATTTCAGCGTTTCCAACCTTGGAATGAACTTCATGTGTTAAGAAAACCGTATGTTGACAAAAATATTGCGTTTGATCGATTACTTTTTTACTTTCGTATATATGTATTTGGAAAAACGTACTATCTTGCGTTATTTAAAACGTTTACATTTTTGTTCAAGCGTAATCTTCAGCAGAACATAGTTATGAAAGTTTATACAAATAATAACTCGCATAAAAAACAGCCTTATTTCTTTAGCATGCACATCCAGTTCAGTTCGCGTACGAAGACTGAAAGTGTACGTCCGTCTTGATGTGTGCGGTTGCGGCCTCAACCGAGTTTTGTCGATGCTTTCTCGGAGCGGCGAACCGGGTCGCGTTCTCGTTGCCGCTGTAACGTGGAGCTGGTACTGAACTGGTGCACTGGTACCAGCCATGCGGCGACGAAGCCGCTGCCGACTCTACTTTGCGCTCGACGGCGACGCACGCATTCCCGCCCACACCCGCCATGTGTCACGGCTAAATAATTGACATTGTTAGAAATCGCTCCAATCAACTATGAACGAGCACACCACGCCTTTATACCAAACCAACACATCTTTACGTGATTTCCATACTATTTGTTTACAACTTTTCTTCGTATATTTTTGTTCCGAATCTCATCGCTACCTACCTGGTTTAATTATAGAATTTGTAAGCTTATGTAATACCAGCGAATACCCGTCAAGGGTATTGCTAAACATTTTCAAGGCATCAATGTACTTGCTTTGATTTGAACGGTTTTTTGCGAATAGTTCCTTATGTTCGGAAGAACCTTTGTTTATTTTTATCTTGCGTGTTTAGGAAGCAGACTGGCTTTGCTTTAAATAAACCTAAATCTAATTGGCAGAGACGAACCTCACGAGGACCGGGTGATATAATTTATATCGGACTGAAGTCAAGGTCTTGTCAATGATTTTAGCCATATACTAAATAAACGCATATACCAATACAACTGGAGGTCAAACAGGTGCGGTGTGGTCTTGTTCATTTAATAACTGGATACCAAATTAATAAAATTACCTAACGTAAGGGTGAGTGTTTGTAATTTGCACCCACAACACATTGTTTTATTTGTAACAAAACCAAATTGTTTTGTTAAAAATTAAACAAGAAATATAAGCATTTTGAATGGTAACAGTGATGTCTATACGCATCATATTTATTTTATTAGTTGGGCCGATAATAAGCAATAAGTCAAGTCAATATCATAAATTTGCACAGACTTGATATCTGTTTACGTATTCATGGTAAAACAATGTAGAACGCGGTGCACTAGGGCCGAGGTGGCACAGTTTCTTGTTTAAGTTATAAATCAATTTGCCCCAGTTAGATTAGCGTTTTCATACAATACGGCGTTACACTGTGCCATCGAAATCTTCGCTTTCCAATGGCCGTATTGCCAAATGTTGGGTTTGTTGCGTGGTACGCGGGTTGCGGATTGTGTGTCGGTTTCGGTTGCTCGCGCTCTGCTCGCCCACCATTGCCTGCTGCGACTCGCGACACTACGTCACGTACTACACATGTGTCGTTGAATGTTGCATAATCGTCTCGCATACTCTTGCTCACATCGCTCTTTGTATTTAAAACATGTTAAGTGCCGACATAATCATTTCAAAATAATCTTACCGTGAGCGGATACGACTTCGTCTTGTTAGCACAAGATGCCTTTGATCTCGAGCGTAGAATTCTCGTAGACATTGAGTTACATTGTGTAACAGTTTATGTTTATGTACGCCGATAAGTGAACCTTTAATACACGAGATGCTCTCTACATTTTGTGGAACGTAAGGTTGTTGGAGCTTTCACAAAGTCATTTAGCGTATAAAGCGAGGTAACACCGCTTCAGCTAGTGCGAATTGAGTTTGTGAATTGGTGCGCCCGTCGTCGGCCTCGCTCGCTCACTCGCTTCCGCCTCGCAGCTTATCCTCGCTCGAGGTGCCCATGATAATCTTTTTGTTGCGAGCCTTGATCCCCTAGACCTTGCCTACGTGTGTGTCGTCTATTGTTTAACACTATATCAACGTTTTGATTTCCTTTCTAGGTATAATCAGCAAACCGCCCGCTCCTCTTGGTTGAAGTACGTAACCTTTTTATTTTATTCTTATTACCTACAGTATTGATAATACATTCATTAGTAGCTCACTGCTAGACAATTTCAATTTTGCTCTAAGTACTAGAATTACGTAGGGTAATGAAGATTTTGTATACGCGGCTTTTATATTTAGGCAGCTGTTGGTTTATTAGACCACGTGCTAACAGGTAGGCGTGCGTACACCGACGTCACTGCGCTCGGCCTATGAAGGTCGTGACGTAACGACTAAGTCTCACCATTATTCAGTCAAGTCTGTCGATCCATCGCTCGATTCCTCACGAGGCCAAACGCTCTATTGCAAAGGTTAGTCTCTTTATAAGAAATGATTACGTCCCGCTTCCACACGCCACATTTTCGTAATGAGTGACAGAGAAGGCTGACTTCAAGAACTCCACAACCTCATTCAATTCAAGCATTCCACCAGGAAACAAAAATGTAAGGGCAATAAATTCAAATTAAAATGTCCTCAATTTTAATTGCTTTATGGGTTTTGCAATATTTGTTAGCGTCACCAAATTTTATATTAATACCTGCTCCTCAAGAACATTGTCAGTTACTTACATACATTGTGCTATCTCTAATGAATTTCGTTGAATTGAGCTTTAGTACACAGTACGTAGTTAATGTTTTTGGACGCTGGCCAAATAATTTGATTGTAATCGTTCCTCGTGTATACACGGGCAGATTATTTGCAAAAGATCAGGGACGTTGCGTAACCAAACTCAAGTTTCTAAAGTTTTCTTTGTTCGTTTGAATAAAAATTAGTACCAAAGGAGTGCCCAGCCTTGTTTATTTTATTATCTCGGAATAAGCAAACGAAGAGCTTAACATTGTCTACTTACTTCATCTTGGTTGCAGCGTGTTTTGATATATTCAAAGATACTTGTCGATAAATTACGATGGTCGTTTATACTCGTAAATATAAAACCTCCTTTATAACAAGGAAACATAATATATTGTTGGCGGTTTTGTTCATTTTTTGGTGACACGTGATTATGTTTATCTATCAAAGTCGAACTGATAACGCCGTATATAATTTAATGATACCTATCGACATGTCGATTCTATCAATACTACTACACGTTCGTCCACTTATGGCATAATTTCTCGTGATATATAATTCATATTGCTTCCTTATTTGTTTAGTTGTAATTTCAGCCGTCCTCGTAACTAATTCTTCGCTAAACAAAGCTTATTGTTTTTAATTATCCGTTTATTTCTGGATAACCTGATTGAGATCCTGAGAATTCTGTTATAATTGTGTGCCAATTATATATCGTTTTGTTTTCCACAGACTGTACAAGTAGTAGACATAATATTGACTATATGTGATATCTGACACATAGTGGGTGGAACAAAATTCAAGCCCTTTACCCTGTAAGCCCCGTGATCATGGCTCACGTGGGCATCGGTCACCTTGCGCGTCCCCGCGCTTCTCGGACGAATAGAGGTGGAATTTAGTTCCGCGTACACTTGCACTGCTCATACAATCGTCACCGAGCCGAATACGATTCGCAAAATGTTTATTTATGTTACATTGCATTCCGTTAACATAATTATCCTTCCTAGTACTCCTAAGCCTGTCTCTTAGCTCGACAAAACCATGTTTCAATTTAATTGTAAATGCGTTCAACAAAGGAATATAAATAAGGTATAATTGAACGTAGTTAATTTTCAGCGTTGTCTATCTATCGATGCCTACTTACGACAGGAAGGACGATCTTTGTACCATTGGCAACCCTCAGACGTACCCACATTAACATATGACTGGAACTCTGTTACGGGGACCTATATTGCTCCTCTAGTGTCAAATTGTTGTGATTTTTCTGTAAAACCAATATATTTAATAATAAAGATCTTATTATGGTTTTAAAATCCTTATCAAAGTTTCCTTAAAATAGCGGAAACGTTTGATTTGACTTTGACATTGAGTGCTTATTGTTACACATTACCTACAACGGACTGTGAGACGACAACTGCCGCAGCCTTGGCTGTATCGTGTGTTTGATTATTCAACACGTCACACCTATAATTTGCGTTGTTACCATGTATCTGTATTAAACAACAGATCAGCATACGCGTGGATATGTGCTTACATGCTTTATAATATAAATAAAGATGTTTGTGTCGATCCCAGCCGTTGTAATATTTAAATAACAATTGCCGTCCTTGGCGATACGACATAGCAGCAATTAAATTAAACGAGATTAAAAAATGTTTTTAAATTTTTCCACAGTGCGATTATGTCATCTATAGGTACGCAGAATAGATAGTTAGAATAGCTACCGTCTGAAGGTTAGTATTCATTTCGACTTGACCATGAATGTTCTTTTGCCAAAAATTTCGCTAATGACAGGATCATTGTAATTCATACTGGACCAAATTTAGTTAGTTCAAACGTATTTTAACTATAAAGTGTATTGGTTGCACTCGTAAAGGTTAACATAAAAAGATGAAACGGACCACTAACGGCTCAAAATACTTGCGGTGAGATATAAACCAGATTATTAAAATAAAACATGCTGGACTTAGATTATTTGTGCTATTCAATATTCAACGTACATTATAATGAAATAAAGCAGTTCCCTATTGACTATTTTCATTTTAATGTGTATTTTATCATGTCTATGAACGTTAATAATTCTTTTGTTTCTATTTAACAATATAAAAAAAGATTTTTAACAGGAATAATGCATCTACGTGGAGGAGACAAAGAGGTTAAAATGCGGCATTTTCGCAAAGATTGTTTCAATTTCGTAGGCAGATAAGTCAGGCGTTTCATTTCCGGTTGAAGGATATTCTACCGTTTTTTACGAATCGTCAATTGCCTTGTAGATTACAAGCAAATGCCTAACCTAAATTATGACGAAGGATATTTTTCCTTAATATACAATAAGACTGCTTTGTATTACATTAAATATGTCACCGGACGGACATATGATACAATGGGTTCATTTGTTAACCGTTGTAGATACGTTTACTTGTACAGCATGAAGGCGGTGGCGGCCTCGTATCCACTTTAACCATCCATTATCAGTTGTCGGCCAGATGCATCACTGCAAATAATCGTCTCTGTAAACGAACATCTTCTTAGACAGATCATCTTGTACCTACGTAGAATTTCCCTTCTATTATTTTTCTTGCCAAAATTAATTATTTACTTGATTATTAAACGTCTACCAGTGGTCTTGATCATGTGTGTTATTGTATATTTCTTTTAATTTTTTGTTGGTTTCATGGGTAGAATAAATGTATAACAGACATTGTAGTCGACTTTATATCATATTGCATTATTAAGGACAACGTGTAATGAAATATCTTTTAATATAATAATAATACGACTGATACGGTAGGAATGTTTGTTTGCGGTAAACAAAGCGTCCTTCACGTTCAGTCGAGGACCCTTCTGTTGGATCGTCCTCAGGGCGTCTGATTCATACACGAGTTATCGTTAAGAGGGCATTGCTCACTGGTTCCTCCCCCCTGATCCTGACAACCGCGCCCGCGCACCCACTGGCCACCGCCACCAATGCCTAAATAAAACTACCCATAAGCGTATCAGAGTCAGGGCACTCGATTGTTCTAAGTCCTTATTGCGTGCTATTGTCTGCCAAGCGTCCGCCATTTTTATTATCATTGATTGCAAATTTATGACCACATACAATTGTCACCCTTATCAGGTCGTTTATACATGGTTTGATGAACTAATTTAGTACGTGAATATACAATCAACATACCAATGTATTTTTAATAAGTAGGAAATACGATAATGTGTGTCCTCGTTTATTTGTCCTATTTTCGTAGCGCTGAAATATTTTTGTTTCCTTGGAGTTTTTTCCCTGTGGACGTTATCCTGTTGGCTCTATCTTTAGTTTGCTTTTACCTTGACAGTTTCTTATATGTTTTTGTTTTCAAATCTTTCTTGCATTTATTTGAGTTTCATGGTAGTTTTAGTTGCTAAGCTCTTAAAATTTTCGTGCAAGTTTTGTCAGATAAATCAATCTCTTCTGCTTTCAATTTTTCCTAACGATTCCAATCTAGTAAAACGACGCTGAGTGGACTTAAATATAGAAGAGGATGCGAGCAGGTCGGATGACATCTATAATAAGACCACGGGAGACCGTTGATACGTACCACTGAGATTGCCTAAGCTTTCACGGGTTGTTGACTCTCGCAAGCTCACTGCCCGCATATTTTTGTAACTGAACAAAATAAAGATAACATGAACATATTTAATGTTTTATGACGATTTATTAAGCACATTAACCACGTTCCAATTGTTGTGCACGTAAAATATAAGCGTTTAGTCTCTAATTACGTGCATTTACGGCACTTTACGACATACCATGAAGTGATAAATCAAGGCTGCTTAGACTGCTATTTAAAATGAAAAATAACCAGACTCGTACGGTTAGGTTTCATTATCATAATAATGCGTGCTTGTCGCGATTGGTTTGACAGTGCATTGTATAAAGGTTGTCCAGGGCAAGTAAAGGGCAGGCAGTTTTCCAGCTCAGAGTCACATTGATCCAGACTTATTTCAAATAAACAGGGACAACAATTGTAACAAGCGCAATGTGTTAATATATTTTTGCAAATTAGTTCTATATTGGTAACACGGTTGTTCTCACTATTAAAAGTCTCATCAGAGAAGATGGTGTCGTACAAAATAATCATATTAGTAATGAAAAAAGGCTATTGTTTACGGCACCGTGCACCTTTTTTGTTACTGCGGTGGTCCCAGCGGTGGGTGGTCGACCACAAAAGCATAGCCGCTACTATTTTCTCTGCATAAGCCAAAAAATACAAAAGATTTATATTGGATTGATTACAGTTTTGTCGTTATCCATGTCTGGGGCCTAACTTTGTATACATTCGAGGTCCATTTTTGGTTTTTTAAATTGGTTGGAATCAATCAGGAGTTGTGACCCAGAAATATGAACTTAGAAAATGAAATATAACCTAGGAATATGGGTTTCGGAAATATATAGGACTGAACATTTAAGTGTGAACGTCAGACTGGATTTTAAGTAGAGTGCCGGTTGCGTCAACACATATGTGTAATTTGGGTTCTGGATATTATAATGACGTGTTTGCGTCTGAAATGCTTGAGAGAGCGATGATTCACGTATTGTTAATCATGATAGGAGTGGTCCACTGAAACTGAATGTAGGTCGATCGGGCCGCTCCATTTGCCACCGTAGCGAACTGTTGATCGACCTCGGATTGATAGTTGCGCGCCAGATATCTTATCTAGCCAGTGGTGTAGAAAGCGTACCTACACGGCCTCCCACCTTTCGATCTGATAGTGCAGACAACATATCTAGCTATATGAATATGTCACATATAAATGACACATTTCCTAATAAAATGACTAATTGCTAGAAGCCTTTACTCATTGTGGTGCAAGTTGGTCGTCAATAACAATAAGTAAACTATATTCGACGATGAAAGCAACGAGGATGTCACGCCCTAAGCCAACCGCATGTAGCAGATAAACGTAACTTTATCATTTTAATAAATCGTATAAAATATAAGTTTATATAAAAAGACATGTAGGTAATTCGGTTTGGTAACATCTTTACTTACATAAGTTAATTCGTGTCTTAGTCGACGCTGACAGTTTCTGGGTCGCACCGATTAAATTCACTTAGCCTACTTTTATTTAGTGCTGTGACACTTTTCATGTTTGACATAATTTTCTGTTTCGCTGTACACAATTCACTAATTGACACGGAAGTTTGCCGAGTATACTTTCATAATAAATATTGTTGCAACACTTCAATTTGTTGCACAAAAAATTACATCTCATATATGACGTGTTTTTCGACTTATACGCTTACTATGCACATCTGTTCTCTATGATCCCTGTTGTGGCTCAGCCCTAATTCACAGAAAAATGTAATTACGTGGAATACAGGCCCACTTTGTCTGTGTACCAGTATTCCTTGTCATGTGTCCTACAACAGACAGTGTTTGTCGACGATCAGGCACACTAGCACAGAGCGATAAGCTCGCTAAAGCGAATAATTATTTATACTGAATGCAGCCAGTAATTAAGAGTATCAGAGAACGGTGTTACTTGGCCACAACCACTGTTTATTGCTCTTCGGCCTCTTAGTGAAAATAAAGTATATCTGGTAGTAATCGAGTAACTTGCACATCATGATTTTACATATACGTCAAATGTTTTCATTGTGTATTTAAAACCCAGGCTTGCAATAAATTTGCATGTAGAGCTTGTCACGTGGTAATTTGTGCACGTTTACAAATACTGATGTGCAAGATTTGTGAAAAATTATCGCTACGATGACGTGTTATGTTAGCGCAATCATCAACAAAATTAACATGACAGATTTGTTTAGAAATTATATTAAAGGTGCTAGGTAGATTGATGATGCTGAAAATTTAGTTGGAAAGCGACTCTTATTGTACAGGCGAACGGCACGTTTTGATTCCAATAGCCCACACACAAAGCGGCCGCTCGTAGCTCGTGAACGGATGCAGCGTGGTGATGAAACTGACACAGATTCTAACGCGTATTTGGTAATCGAACTTCACTTCGTGAAAGTCTCGCAGGTCGGCTGTATATCTCGCGTATTGTGTACGCCCTACTTCGTGGTACTTTCGACGTTTTTACGGCACCAAAACCCATAAGCTACTTAATAACATGTAACTCCTCTTTCACTGAGTCGTCAAGTCATTGTTCACGAATGAGTGTGCTCAGTACGCATGTACTGTATGTATATGTGTTAGTGTGTAATATGTATTGTGTTCGCGTCCCAGATTTGGGAAGCGAAATTGCGATCGTTGATTGGCGTATTACGTCGTTGCTACATTTTCGCCTTGCATTCAATTCCATGAGAAGTTGCAGGTATTGCCTTTCGGCCACTAGGTCACTCGCTAGCGTATCGGGGCTATTACGTTTGTCTAAGTACTCACAAGCAATAATACTTTTTTAAGCATTTCTGTTGTTCCCGTTTTGTAGCATGCGTTCAGTTTATCTGCTTACGATTTCCATCAACTGAGCTCTTTTACCTACTTTTTTACGAAAACACATTATTTCTCAATGTACATAATACGTATTGTTTTTCCATCGGTTTTGTACATAACTTTCGGAGTACACTTTTGAGAACCGTGGCCCGGTCGGCCAGAATTCTTCTGAATTCAGATTTCAGTATGACAGAATCTTCATCTCCTATTGAAAATACTACCCGTATTTTATATAAAAGGGTGTGTGTATTGTTGCAGGCTCGGTTCAGGCAACGAGTGCGGCGGTGGAGGGTCGGGCGGCGGCGCGCCGGCCCCGCAGTCGGCGCGCGTGTCATCCAACGGCGCCGGCGGCATGGCGGTGAGCCGCGTGCCCAGCCCGCTGCACGACGGGAACACGCCCGTCGCAGAGAACTGGTGCTTCACACAGGTATGCCTCATTGCTATATTTCTGGACCATCTTTGACAATGGCTTGTTCATACCTCCGATTACTATGTCTAATAGGCACAACAAACGAAAGATGTGTTATATGACATCCACGTATGTTGCACATTGTGATGGATTAAACTTGGCATGGCATCTTTAAATGATCCTCCAAATATCTAAAAACTGTTCTACTTGATGAATTTATTTATAATGATGGCCAATATCGCTATTGTACAAAATGCTGAAACGCCCTTGAATACAATTAACATTCATACTAATAACATATGTAAATATAAAACACATGTAAATTTATAAGGTGCTCAAATGTAACTTACCTACTTGATCTGTATCGAACGTTAATAAGTTTTGGTTATGCTAAGATTTAATCGAATTTCTTTGAACGGGGCGAGTGACTATAAGCGGAAGATTATTTGTCATTTAATTACTCCTAACTTGTTAAGAGTCCCTGTAACTTGATCATTAACAAATAGCAACAAAATTAGTACCCATGACCTCGAACAAGCTTTGGAATAGCTTCCCGATGGACGCATCAAGTTAAGTGCTCGTAAAACCCCCGCAGTCGATGTCGTAAATCGCCTCATCTGAAGCAGAGCGCCCGCCGAGCGATAATATTCTTTGCCAGAATGTGAACTTGAAACACAGTGCGCACAATGTGTTAACGTGTAAACCCACCAGGAAGTAACAAACGTGTTCCATGAACAAACCGTAAAGGCAACTCGCGTCATAGTTACGCTACGTGCGATCATCACTAGGCAACGTGAGCTGATTGTTCGCACGATTTTGCGAACTCACCGCGATACTACCAGCTTATCGTTAAATATTTATAGCTGACAGATAAATTAACCTAAACGTTGTAGTGATAACACAATTATTACTTTATTTATTTTATACTAAAAACCATCATGCTAATACCAGGAAGTTAGATCAAGGCTGATAATTGTTTCGTAGTCTGCAATTTCACGTGCCGTTTCCTTTTCGTCGGTCACCTTTCAGAACAATTGGAACGACCGTTGGACGACTTATTCGGCCTGGCATTAACATCTTAGGTGCTTTTTACCAAAAAATCTATTTAGCTCGCGAATGGTAACGGTATTTTTCGCTTTGCTGCGCGTCGCGATAGCATGTATATTAAGGTTCACTCCGAGCTCTTCATTTTTGGCGTTGATGATCGTTCTTCTACCGTTAACAATAACGGAACTAAATAAGTATATCTCATGTATAAGGTCATTTAGTTGTGTATGTTTAATTAGAAGTTATTGTTTGTTGAAATGGCAACTATGCAAACAATGAGCGCTTCCGCGTGCAGCTGCAGCGGACCTATGCACCGCGCACGTGCCGCTGGCGCCGCAGTGGCCTTCCACGTGCCTTCGCGATAATCGCTCTCTTCATTACTTGGAAACGCGTCACAGCTAAACTCCGTGTTATCGACTACGTTAACCTTCTCTCCCACACAACAATCGCTTATGGGAAAATTGAAAATAACAGCGGAACCGGCGGAATATTTGCAAAATATATCGTTAAATGTTGCTTGCTTTCAAAGTAATCGGTTGTAATATCAGCCGTTTACTTTGAAATACAATCCTCAATTGGTAAAGAAATTAAGCAAAACAGAACATGACTACCAGTTTGAAATAAATCGTCGGACGTCGACTCATAAGGCCTTAGGACGCGGTGGAATCTACGAGCGGATGTTATCTATAATATGTCCGCGAATACGCGGGGATGATGCGGGCGGCCTTGGATCGGGTCGGCGACCGGGCGAAGACCTCAGCAGCACCGCAAGCCCGCAAACCCGCAGGCCCGCAAGCCAAGCAACGGTCGGGGGCAACGACCAGCGGCCAGGCTGCGCCTGCGACGCTCGCCTAGCCCACATGACCTTGCTGAAATTGATGGGCCCCAACCCATTGATACCTACCACCTCACCATATTGAACGGCGAAGTTCATCCTTTGTACTTACAAGGCCCTCACCAATACATCTATTTACAGATCTTGGAAACTCATCACATAACTGTAACAATATAAATTTACATTCCATAGTTATATTGACATCGTTAATTATAAGATACTAAAGGCACCATCCCAACCTTGAAGTTGAATAAAGGTTTAACCAGATGGTTTTGTTTAAAGATTCGCCATAAATAAATAGTCACAATCCGAAACGACCGTTTGTCCAGCCGTCAACGGGCAGTTAGAAGCACAAAGGACCAATTGCGTCCTGAATAGTTCCCCAAAGCGAGTCTTTTGTAAAGATTTATTGCGCAGCATCGATGCTCGCCTACTCTGCTCCGCTTGGGACACCTTGCGAAAGCTCAGACCGACCGGATACTCTTCCATTATTTATAAGCTTTCAACTGATGCCTGATGATTGCCAGCCCCTTGTTTATTTTTTACTCTGCAATTATTGTTTCCTTTGTCTTGCTCCTTTATCTTTTAACTTGTTTTGAGAACAAACAAATGCTCAGTGCAGTCAAGTTTCATGAATAATTCATTGCGTCTTTGTTTGTCTACTGGGCAAGTACTTTAAAGTTTGTATTTATTTGTTTCAGGTCAAAGTGGTGAAATTCAGTTACATGTGGACAATAAACAATTTTAGTTTTTGTAGAGAGGAGATGGGTGAAGTGTTAAAATCATCGACTTTCTCAGCCGGTGCTAGTGATAAATTAAAGTGGTGTCTCCGCGTAAATCCAAAAGGACTCGATGAAGAGAGCAAAGACTACTTATCGTTATATCTATTATTAGTGTCGTGTAATAAATCAGAAGTGCGTGCAAAGTTCAAGTTCTCAATATTAAACGCGAAACGGGAAGAAACCAAGGCGATGGAGTCACAGCGAGCATACAGATTCGTCCAAGGAAAGGACTGGGGATTCAAAAAATTCATCAGAAGGTGGGGACTATTTACGATTACTTTATCACTCTTTATTATTATTATCTTTTGTCAAAGCATTTACGTTTGTGCGTCATTTTTACGTGTCGTGCGGGGCTTATTCACGATTCCAGTTCCACAGTTTGGGGTGGAGACCCCAACCCAATTTAAATACAGTTGTACGTACGCAACGACAACTGCGGGTTGAAATGCGTGCTGTAAGCACCGGTGTACTTTGAACTTTAGTTACCCTTTTTATAACCACTGCAACGAGGTAACTTTGTCGCCTGTCGGAGATCTCGGCGGAGTGGTTTAATATAAATCAACCCCTTTACTTCGGCAGTTGATAATTTTCGACTAAGAAGAACTAATGCAAATGCCATCCACCTATTTTGAATAAAGCATTTTTATTACAAAGGGCAAGCCAGGTTAACGACCTCGAAGTTTCATAATTTTGTTAACTGCAGAGGTTCAATATTGGATTCTTGCCAAAGATCTTATATAATTTGTCCTATCTTTCCTAAAAAGGTGATTTTGCAATTTCGTAATATTGTTCCATAAACTTGGGTGACTTTTTAAGTAGGTAATTAAAATTCTAATCAGTTTTGCGGTTAACAGTAATTTCTATTAAGCGTTACGTTCACCTTTTGGTCAGGCGCTTGATAAGTTAATTTACATTTCTAGAAGCGTTAAACTACAACAAAACAGATTTATTTATTGTAGAGTTTGTTACACAACAATAATTGGCTTTTCACAAAACCAGTGTCCTATTCATTTTTATTGTAATAGAAATATGGTATACGTCGATTTCAGAGATTTCCTGCTAGACGAAGCAAACGGTCTTTTACCCGAAGACAAGCTGACGATATTCTGTGAGGTGTCAGTAGTAGCGGATAGTATCAATATCAGTGGGCAGAGTAACGTCGTCCAGTTCAAAGTACCAGAGTGCCGGCTATCAGACGATTTGGGAGCCCTATTTGACAATGAGAGGTTCTCTGACGTCACACTCGCAGTCGGCGGTCGGGAGTTCCAAGCGCATAAAGCTATATTAGCAGGTAAATGTTTATATTAATGTGTGTCATTATGTACCTTCAGCATAAAAGCTATGACTTAATTCCCTTTGTTTGTTCTTGCGGCTTTCGCCAATTTGGAAGGCGTAACGTGACGCACGTTTTGTTACTAGTTGACACTACAAAATAGCAATTACAATTAGCAGTCATGTTGGAAAGTGGTAGCCTTCATGCAGATTGTACAAAACTTGTTAAATAATGCTTTTTGTCCACCAGTCTACCTGGTTGCTTTGATGACACCACATCACTGCACATCTTTATGTATGGATTGAAATCAATATACAAAAACATTGAAGTAGGTACATGTTGATGATTACCAACACAAACTATAAGTTGTACAGTCTCTAATAATAATGTTGAATAAACGATCTTTATTTATTTCTTCTTCTACTTAAGAGTCAATACTAACTCAGCTCGAAGTTTTCTCGTACTAATACGGTTCATTTTGCTAGGGTCGAGCGCAGGGACACTGGCTTATTTCAGAATTTATATTTTTACAAAGCGAAATTAAAGCCATTGGAAAAATGTATATCGTATAATATATGTGTTCTATTTAATTCAGTTGATATAAAAAATAGTCTGTCTACTGATATAGTAGTAGTCCGAAATGACATTTTCCAGAAATAACGTTTGGTCGAAACTCCATAAACTCTAAAGTAATTTTGAGATGAAAATGTTTTTTCTTTACTTAACCTAAACCTAACCTAACCGAACCTAATCGTGTCTTTGCAATAAACATTCAACATATTCTGAAAGAACAACTGTTTCGTTATAATTCGGTGTAATGAAAATACGAACAAAAGTTATTTCGGACAAAAAAATTTTCGAGTTTCTGATAGGTTACAGTTTTTTTTCTATTGTGAAAATTTTCACGAATCGTGTTTTCACACCGTATAGATCAGTGTAACATCCTCAATTTTACTATCTGTTTTTGCAAAGTGATTGATTCACCACTTTCACTTTTATGCGAAATATTTATCAACCACATCCATTTGAGATAGTATAGACTCATAAGAACATTGCTCTCTTTACGGTGCAGATCCCTCTAAGCCTCTGTTGAAAATTTTTACCTGGGCCTCCTATGATTTACCATCGCTTTTATCTTTTCTATGTAACTAATCCTCAGTATTCCTCTACCTTAAATTCCTTCGTTCTTTCCCTGTGATGTTTTTAATAAAAAGGTCACGCCGCGCACGATGGCCCCATATGTTTCCTTTCTACGTTGTTTTTTCCTTTATCCATGTCATGTGTGTGGAAAGGAAAGAATCCTTTCTCCTCTAACATTACATTTCAAACAACTCGAGACTCTTACTCGCTTTAATCCAGGTGTAGGTTACAATAAATCTCCTTTTTAAACAATTTTAACAACCCTTAATTAACATAATAAACGTTCTTGTTACGTATGGTGTAACAAAAGGATCTGACCGTACTTAGGTCATAATAACAAACAACTTCAGTAAAAATAATTTTACATCGAAGAAAACAAGCTTCTATTAAAATTCCCAAATACTCGCATACGTTAAGTTTCTACAACTATTTGTTACCACGACTACACACACTAAAGTATCGGCACGCTATGATGGCCGTTTTGACGTTTGTCCGCTCATCAACTTTCGTATTAATTCATAACTATGTTGAAGGACTAATCGTTGTACGTTGTGGTCAGTAGTGACGTGCAGTAAAATTTATAGAATTTTACAACACAACTCGGCGTTGGTTTTTCGAAACTTTTAAAAATGAAATCTAATACGATCGTCACTTCTGGGATCGCTGACCAGCATAACTTCTACCTCCGGCGAACTCGTGTCAAAGCTCAGTGCAAAACAAAGCAGTTTCAAATTTGATGATATATTTGAATAAACATTTTTATTTCCGTTTTATTAAAACTTTTTAATCATCTGCCCTTTGCAATACTAGTTATAATCATAAAAACTTATAGATGCGACTCGCATATAATCAAATATTATATATTATATATTTTTTCGATAATAAATTGAGATTTGACCTCACTATTGTAATCTGTGAAAACGATCATCATAGCGTGCCGGTACTGTACCTCAAATACGGTCGGAATCTTGTGTTACACCTTGATTATCTATCGTCTATAATACGAGTACTTTGCAATGGTACTTTGTTCCAACAATTACTAAAATTTATTGCCCAACGTAAACACAGCATAGTAAATATGCAGTTGCCTATGTATTAACTTAGCACGTGTAAAGTATATTTATTTATGTCTGTTCTATTATGTGACAACCGCAACGTGGCCATGTGAGGGAATTTCCGCGTTGTTTTCCTCGTGCAATTGAACGCAAGCTAATTAAACATAAATCGATACAAATGGAGACATCCATTTGTATTTAATAAGCAATGTTATTTTATTTATGATGGATTATATATGTCAAAAGACTGCTTTTTATTATAAGAAGCCATAGACGTACCAACGCGGCTTTTCGGTGAAAGAAGACGTCGTGATGAAACCTGCACGTCGAAGAAGGTTCACAACCCTCGGAGAAAACGCTTGAAGTCCCCAACCCTCATTAAGCCAGCGTGGCGAATTATAGCCTACACGCTCGCCTGAGAAGAGACCCGTACCGAGCAGTAGAACGTATAAATGGGTTGATGATTGATAGCCGTACGGTGACATTGCCATATCACTGTCGAGTATGTAGAGTTAAAAAATCACGCTACCAAATCGCGAACGCGCAATATTTTGCTTAATTTTTTTTAACACGTAGGAGTTGACCGATTATACGTCATTGCGCCACCTTACAAAAGGGGAATTCAAGAGTATTAACCCGTATTATAAGCTCAATAGTGGGCCCCGTTAACGCCCAGATGGACACAGTCTCGGCTCAAGACGCTACAGGAAAATCCAGCTAGAAGGGTGTGTTATAGGAGAGCAATTATAATTGTCGTGTCAAAAAATATAAATCACAAAATAACTAAATCCAATTGATTGATAAACCCAGGTTTTCGCTCCGCTGTTGTTAAGAAGGCCCTTTAACAACCGGAATGGACAAGAATTGTGTTTGAACAACCAATATTTCGATGTCAATATAATAAAGTAGTATTGAGTATTGAAACACTATATTTTCTCCGACCTGGGGGTCTATTCTCGATCTCCGTCCGACATCCGTCCGAAACATTTACTTTCAAATAAGTAATATACGACAAAATTAAAAGACAAGTATCAAGTGTGAAGCTCCATTCGCATCACGCGTCTTTTCATTTGGTCAACTATTGCTTATTTGGCAGTAATTGTTTCGGACGGATGTCGTACGGAGATCGAGGGTAGACCCCCAGAGTTTTATCACCAAAAGCGTCGCGATATATTGTCTGGTAATTAAAAGTCTACAACCACATAACGCATGTCCTCCTTAGAGTTTCTTGCTTATTCTTCACAGGGGAATCTGCCTTACGAATGAGCAGTAGAGTTTAATCAATATGATTTTATGTGTAATTTGCTTACGTATGAAATAAAGATGATTTGAATTTAAGTTTGAGCGAAAAGGCTTAAACGATCATAGAATTGGCCTGAACGCTTATTGGAATTAATGAACAATAATACCATTGAGTATACAGCTGTTATAAACAACCTTCATGTCTGGGATTCATGGTCAAGCGAAACAACGAATTTGATTGCCATGTGGGTGTCATATTACTTTATGGCACTATAAACCAGGAGCTTTAGCTCTTCGAAGTAGACTTTCCCCGGGACGGATTACGTTTTCTTTTCTCTCACAGACGGTTCCTTATTAATTTTTTCTGTTACTGTTAATTTTTAATTAAATTCTAATAGTTATTAGAACAATTAATAGGGCGGTCTACTTCCATAAATAAAGCATATCGGCTGTGAACTGGCAATCGGTACTATCTCAATTTTGACAACTTAACAGGATGAAGGAAAAAATTGCGTCATTTATATAGCATCTGGTTTATCAGATAAAAATATATAGTTTTTAGATATTTTTATTACACGTGTATGTACACTACGTATTTTTATTTAATAAACCATGCTATATATGCTGCCATATAAATTATTTTTTCTACATCCAGTAAAGATGTCAAAATTGAGATAGTACTGGTTGCCAATTCACAGTCGATATGCTTTATTTATGGAGGTAGACCGGTATGCCTTAATCAGATTCGTTCCGGTCGTTTCTGTGCTAAATTAGCTTAAATTGTGAATTCCAGCGCGGAGTCCGGTGTTCGCGGCGATGTTCGAGCACGAGATGGAGGAGCGCAAGCGCAACCGCGTGGACATCACCGACGTGGACCACGAAGTGCTGCGCGAGATGCTGCGCTTCATCTACACAGGCCGCGCGCCCAATCTCGACAAGATGGCTGATGATTTACTTGCCGCTGCTGATAAGGTACATATTTCTCTTATAAACTTTCACACAAAATCGCCGGGCTTCATGTATGTGCTACGGCATATCGTACTTGATAACTAACATGTATTATGTCAAAAATTGCGCTATATTATGTTTTATCTCAAAATTGCGTTTGTTAATAATTTATCTCCAAAATTTCGGTATGTTGATGTGTCATTTATATACGTTTTAATTTCAAAGTGACAGGGCAATACTGTCGCTTTGAAACTAAATAGGTAATATAACTTAAAGCCATTTTGAGATAACACTATGTTAGTTCTCATGTGCGATATGTGGTTTCCATTTTGGTGTCAGTGTTAATCCATCTCTCCAATAAGCCTTAGTCAATTTTTTATCTTCACTGTTTACTACACTTGCCGTATGATCGAGAGAGGAAAAACACTTAATACTAATAAAAATTAATATTCCATTTTCAACGTGCGATATTTGATTAGTACACTGTCGGGTTAACTAACCTTGTTAACATAGATATTGTATTTCACAGTCGTAAATTTATGGAATTAAAAAAGTTTTCGCATAACTCCAATAACTTAGCTATGCGACAAGAAATCTGTTTTCTAATCGAATTCGAAATCGTATAAGCAGTATTATTTGCTTACTAACAGTAGTAGCGTAGGATGTCAACACTTTCAAATTATTACATTACTTAGAAACGCTTTAACTGTCTTGGTAAGAATTCACACAACACTATTCCCGTCGGTTTAAAAAAAATAGTTCGTTATAGTATACTACACTAATCTACAACATTTTCACTTCATTTTAAGCCTGATTATTTATCCGAAAATTAAATTAGGCCGATCGGCTATCGACGCCAGTGGTCGGTCATCGTCGGCATTGTAAAGACGCAATCCGAAATTCGCAGGAATCGGATCTGTGTTGAGTTGTATCGTATTTATTTATTTTTTATGATACCAAGTACGGGACAAACAAGTCGTTCGCGTTGCAGTGCCACTCAGAGTTTTAAATCGCATAGATCTGAGGGGCACTGCCACTGCGCCCGTTACCCTGAGACATAAATTGACAAATCCCATATGCCTGTAATGTCACCAGCACCCTTATCCTTCGAAACCGGAACGCACTCATGTAAGCATTACTGCTTGGCTGCATACCTAGATAAGATGGCAGTACTTCCTGGACGAACTCATTCACAAGGAAGGGACTCTACTGCCACTAGAACTTCTAATTGTGGTATAGATATAATTTTTTTCTCGCCGGCCTAATGCGATTCCGTGTCGAAATCCCCCGTTCCTTTCTACATAAGTTTTTACAGTGGCCCTCCCTACCAACCCTTAGAATATGCGAGAAGTGCAGTAATCTGTGCAAGCACAGGGATCTTCTAAGTTCAGGTCCTGATCAGCCAGTGTACAGGGTTGTCACAGACCGTTGTCATTGGCTTCATCCGGTTCTCAAGAGGCTAGGGATGGGCCGCCCCGGGGGCACGTATTGTGCCCTCCCTATTTTCCATATAGGTACCGGAGCTGTTGGCACGCTCACTTCCCGGTATGCATTGTACAACTAACGGTTGCCACCGCTAAGCCGTTGACTTTAAAGTCCCCTACCAAATCTCTTTGGTGGCGGAGCTGCAGGCACGCTCACCTCGCGTTGCCGAAGCGTCTCTCCAGTTCCCGAGTCCCAGAGTCCCAGATGTCCGTGAAGGCGTATCTGCATTAATGTACGCCGTACCAGGGTATGGCGTACATTAATGCAGCCCGTCTACCCGGAACTCTCTATCTTTCGGGTCAGTAGATAAGGACAAAATAAATTCCGTGTCGACGAGTGAGGTGACTCCCTTGGCCGCGCAGCGCGGGTTTTCCCATTCGATACGCTTCTAATTTATCCGACGGAGTATATCGCCGAGCTCTCTTGGTTTAGTAAAATACTGCCTAATGAGCATCTGTCTCTTTCACTCCTGTAAAAAAATTAACATTTGTTCCATATCGTTTTAATTACGCGAATTTACATGGCAGGTCAAATCGATTTCGATCGAGTTATGCGAGACCTAAAATAACAGCATGCACAGGTGCAAGCGAGAAAGGAAGATTGTCTCGTCTCAATGGTAAAAAGAGCGTAAGTTGCATTTTGCTTTAAGATAAGAAACTGTTACGGCAAATGTGACATCCTACAATTGACTGTATTATACCATTTATTACAGTGGCTTTGTTAATAATGTGGTCATAAAGACCACAGCAAAACTCATTTTCTGCTAAAATGTTACCCAGATTTCCCGGTTTCTCTTTTCAGACCCTATATACTGTTCATTACTTTTAGGTTGTTATTCGAAAAATAATTATTGGATATTACTATTAGGCACTTACGCTATCGGTAAACTCGATACGCAAAAACGATGTTTATTTTCATTACGTAAACGGCCTTGGTCGACCGGGGAAACGAGAAGTTATTCCGTACATTATGGATTTGTAAAGTGAGTAAATTAAACTATAAATTGTTGTATATTTAATTCAAATTAATTACTATGTATTTACGAGGATTCTGCAAAAACAGGCTGCCACGGTTCCGCGCTCACGTTTTGCGTTCTTTATAATATTGTATTACGACTGAAAGCATGACGTGTACGGATGGCGTTCTGACCGCGTCGGTCAATATTTAGGATTGACGCATGACGCGACAACGCGTGAACGCGTGACTGGCTTTTCGGTTTGCGTAATCCCTAACTTTTATTAAAAATTAAAATGCGAAACACAAAATGTTTCAACAGTCCAGGCTAGGTGCCGTCGTAATACTTGTTATAAGTCGTGTTTTCATGAAATATCCGGTAAATGTTCATTTTGTATAAAAGCTCTAGTAAGGTGTGGAGTGTTACGGTAGTGCGGTATTACGATGACATACAAACTGTCAAACTATCCTAATGAAAATCGAACCTTACATCGATCTTATGTTTTATATTATAATTTGCAATGTCATGCACTAACTGTGCGTACCTCCACTGTACTCTTTTTTATGATATCTAGTGACGGGACGAACAAGTAGTGTCGCTTATCACAGGATAAGCGACACGCATATCCATAACAGTTGCAGTGCTATTCAGAGCTTTAAATCCCAAAGATCTTACGGGCACTGCCACTGCGCCCGTCACTCTTAGACGTAAGTTGACAAGTCCCATGTGCCTGTAATTTCAACAACACCCTTACCCTTCTAAACCGGAACACAGTAATGCTACACTACTACTTGGCGGCGGAAATAAATAATATGGCAGCACTTCCCTGAACGAATTCTCTCACATGGAGCTCTACTGCTACTAAAACTGTACTCAGTAAAATAGAAGCAGAAATAAAGAGTAAAACTTAGATTTATGAAACTTTATTATTACTAAAATTTTAATCTACCGGCTATCATCATGCATATATAAAGTATATGAACGGTGAACCCTTAGTTGCAGAGCGCTCTTTCCACTTCGATGTAAAGCTACACAATTGTACACATTTTTTCGATCACATTCTTTGTAATTGAGTTGTTAAATAACCTGAATAAAGTTTATTCAAAGATCGATAATAATTATAACAAACTAGTGGAGTAATTTCACAAAAAATAATTGAATATCAATTCAATAAAAATTTAATTAATAAAGTTTATTCATTAAGTGCATTTGTGGCCTGACGGTTACTATGCTTTATATTTGTGTTTTAAATAGCATGTAGTGAAGTGAAAAACAAAATATTTGTTTTGAACTTTTAATTAATAAAAATCTTTTTTATTATTTCCAGTACGCGTTGGAGCGGTTAAAAGTGATGTGCGAAGAGGCGCTATGCCTCAGTCTGTCGGTGGAGACAGCGGCCGACACCCTCATCCTCGCCGACCTTCACTCCGCAGACCAGCTCAAAGCGCAAACCATTGACTTTATCAACACGTCAGTTCATATTTAATTTTATTTGTTTTTAATTAAAAAATTGCATTTAAAATGAACAAGCACATAATTTTAGTATGCTGCTTGGCCTTTTTAAAAGGGTTTGCTCTGCAACTACTTTACTCCAGTTATTCTCTGTCTGACAATTGACAGTAATAATTTTTGTTATTTTGTGATATGAATGCCTCACTTTCTTAAACTCCTAAAGAGTGATTATTTAGGGGATAGCAAAACTGTTATTTATTTTAAATTTCTTATTAAAGGTAGTATTCGGATGCATTACTTTAAGAATAGGTAAAAGCAAGTGTGTGAATATGAAGGAAATGTAATGTGAAATCAGCCTGCATATTTTGGATTTTAGTAACTTTATGTTTACTAGTAGTAAGATACGAGTTTCAGAAAGTAAGGCGACGAATTTATCAGTACACTAGAAAAAAATATTTGCCTAGATTCGACAGCTCAATTGCTATGGCAATACAGTAAAAATGGTGTACCATTGAAAGTTTTGTACAGTACGTCCTTGACTACTTCCAGGAGTCACGCGACGGACGTGATGGACACGGCGGGGTGGAAGAACATGATCTCGTCGCACCCGCACCTGATTGCCGAGGCGTTCCGCGCGCTGGCCACGCAGCAGCAGCAGATCCCGCCCATTGGGCCGCCGCGCAAGCGCGTCAAGCAGGCCTAATCCGGCCGCTCTCATACCAAAGACACGCCACTCGGCGCGCTAAGGCCACCGGCGCATCTAGCTCGAAAAACGCGACTCAACTTGCGCACGCGCAACCCCAGCCGCGCCTTTTTCATCTAGATTTGCCCCAAGCGAGTCCGCGCCGGCTGAGCCAAGGTGGATGTGTTCGTATCATTAGTGGATCCTCGGATTCAACCCTTCGTTTACTATGATTGATCTCAAGACGATATTCGATCCTAATGTTTTTGTCTCGCGGTCGAGTGTACCGCTTTTAAACGGTTACTTTAATGTGTATTTTATGAAGAAACGCTGGACGCTTTTTGCGCGTTGATGTAGTTTTGAATGTAGGCTTGGAATATCATATTTTATGTATGTCGTTTCTGTGAATTACAGTTATGTTTAAATGTAAATTATTACTATGTACTAAAAAAAGCTCATATTCTAAAACTATTCACTTCATTATAAGGTTCATTTGCAAATTTACGTAGAAGTACTTCAATGTGGTAATCAGTAATTGTTTGTGATGTTGCGTCGTAGAATGCAACGTTGTATTCAATTTTTATAGAAAATGCAAATACATAATGTTACGATGAATTGGTAGGCGTTTAAAAGTAGCACTTTTGAACATTTGTGAAGTAGCATGGTAATTGAATGCAATAAGTATCTGTGAAGATTGTCATTAATTATACGAGACAACTTTCAGAAGCCGTTCGACACCGGTGAGCGATTTTGGCTTCATAGAGTCACGTTTGGCTTAAAGCTAGAGATGAGAAACATTTAGCGGAAAACAAATTGCCTCTAGCCTAAGACCCATTATCACCAAAGCGGAGAAGAGCCGTATTTCATCTACCAATAATAATATTTCCTTATTTTGACTAAGCAACGTTGATTTGTCAGAATAACGAAGTGTTTGGTTATTACGACGCGTTGCTCTCTTCCTGTTTTTTTTTTTTAGATAATGGGCCTTAGTGAGGCGATTGTCACACTAGCGAAGGCCGTGTGTACAAAGCTCTGTCGCAAGGTAGCAGTTGTAGGAGACTCGAGTGATTGTAATAAGTCTATAAAACTGTTGGTATTGTTGTATATAGATGAGCTACGATCCCACCATTAAAATATTGTCATAAGTACTAAATCGTAAGTGGTATCACTGGTGACACCATTCGTTTTTATTGTAATTGTTTAGTTGTTATTCCAATGACATATTGTGATTATTCATTCAGATTTCCATAGTTTTAAACAACACATGCTTCTCATTTTTTGATTGTATGTAGATCGCGTAAGTAATTTAAAGTTTTTCGTGATGTCATTGAAGTGGTTTTATTTCGCTTGATCGATTGTCTGTATATCGCGAATCGCGCCTGAGTCAATTTAGTCGCCCTCGTTGCTCATTTTTTTTGTTTCATCTATCAATAGGCGTTCTTCTTTTTTTTTATTTTTTTTTTAACCAGACAGAAATACAATGTCCAACGTCCGGACACTAATCAAACATGTGTCACTAACTCTACACTCAGGCCCTATACTCTCGTTCTCCATCTGATGTCCGAAATAATTACTGTGAAATAAGTAATTACTTAACCAAATTAAAATCTCATGATGCGAATGAAGCTTCATACTTGACATAGCTTATAATTTCGTCGAGTATTAATTACTTGACAGTAATTGTTTGGGACAGAGGTCCAGAGTGTTTGTTTAGTTTCTTGTCATTGTCGTTTCATTTCGTCGATTTATGAAATTAAAAACAGAAAAACGTCTGTTTTAATTTTCATCTTAAATTATCTTTTCTTTTCTAGTATTGTATTATCGTCTTATAATTTGAAAATTTTGCAATTTTTATGCTTGTTTTGTTTCTATGGTAACATAATTATTCTCGAGTTTGTGAATGATGGATCTACCCATGTAGATAATATGTAGTGACTACCCAATATTAATAATAATGTATTGTGGCCAATAAATAATATTTATATTACCATTTTATACCCATTTCCCATTTACATAGCAGACGTGTTGTCGTGTAATGAAATTAAACATTTACAAAACAACCTGTCAAAAGTAATAACTGTGATTTTCGAAATTGTCAATAAGTTGAGCAAATAAATGAGATGATGTAATATAAAAGTGTACTTTTTATTTTGGAATGTGCATCCATCCATCTTAATAAGAGTATAGAGCAGCACCACACACACACACCTTATACTAAAATTATTTATTGAGGTTGATAGAGCTCCGAAGTTGACCCCGTGTATGTAGACATAGTGCCTTTGACAAAGTCTGTTACAAACTATTAATATTGAAGTTGAAACTGTTGAAACGAATGAAAGTTCTTGTTTATCAGACAGACTACAAGTTGTAGTTATTTAATTTTAGGTATTCAATTACTATGTCCCAATTCCGGGGTTCCTCAAGGATCTATCTAAGAACCGATTATTTTCATAATTTTGTTAACCATAGAGCTCAAGAAATACGACATTCGAAATTCTCCTTATATGCAAATGATTTCGAACTTTATACAATGGAAGTCGCTCTAGATCGCGATGCCGAAGATGGGATATGTATTAGAAATTAAATTATAATTATTTAATTAAAGTTTTTATAGAAGTGAGCATTCGGTACCATGACAAATAAATACGGAAAATAATGACTATGAAAAAGCAACGAACACAAGCATACATGTGTTAAAGGGAGAACCTGATCTACCATCGTTGAACGAAATTGAGAAATAAATAAATTTTTAATTTAATTTAATTGAACGAAGTTTTTCTCGGAGTGACAAAAGTTCAATTTCATAATACTCTACATACGTCGCTGAACCAAATTTTATTTAATTACTATTTAACTGCCTCCGTAGTCAAGATGTCCGGGTTCGATTTGTTAGATAAAAATTCTAGAAAAAAATAAAGGATGGAAATTGGTTTCCATAGTCTAAAGGCCCCGATCGTCATCCGTCATATTTGTATAATACGTCTATATTATTTTTAATTTATTTATGAATATTTTTGGCCCTTTGCAAATACTTTCTTTTTTATTATTGATTAATACGTTGTAGTGTTTAGGTTTAGTTAATTCATTTATTTGTTTTGTTGCATTTTTAAGCTGATGCCCTCGTAGCCAAAGCTCAATAAATTAAAAAGAAAGCCGTCACACCGAAGAAACAATAATGGCGGGAATTGTTGTTTGTTATTTTTGTAATCGTGTGCTAGCTACCATTATTCTGCGTACAATGCTGATTAATTGAGTTTCTAAATTTGTCTGAAATTCGTTGTATGTTTTTTAAATTGTTATCGGTATTTATTGCCCAGAAGTGGAGGCTCGATTGTAAAAAATGGAACCTAATTTCCCGTTTCCATTTCAACCTTACGATATTCAAGAAAAGTTTATGAAAGAACTTTATTACACTATTGAAAAAGGAAAACTTGGAATATTCGAAAGTCCTACGGGAACTGTAAGTTTTTGTAAATAAATTTTGTCAGATAATGGTAAAATGAATTTGTTACTTGTAGGTTATGTTTCTAAATATATTATTTTGAAATTTTCAGGGAAAATCGTTAAGCATTTGTTGTGGAGCACTACAATGGCTTAGGGACAGTAACCACAAAATAATTGGAAATTTAGAAAAGGATATTGCGGAATTAAAAGTTAATATCTCCTCCAAAAGTGGTCAGTTATGGTTATATATCGACGGTTATAGTTAATCAAAAATATTTTTTTACTGCGAGCTCTAAATGAAGTGCTACTTCAAAGTGAAGTTGAAGTTCATTCATTAATAAAAATAACCATTAGGCACATTGACTTACAATAATATGGATGTCGGGTCCGCGCTAAAAAGTGTCCGAACTTATAGGGCGTTAAAATTGTCATTAACGCTTTAGTCTTCGTTTGTTCGACTGACAGCGAAGCAAGCAAAACTAGACAGTACTGCGATGGCATTACAATTTAAATTCAACGTTTTAGCTTTTTCATATTCCTTTACTATCACTACGTTTAAATAGGTTGACTTGGGACATTTTGTTTGTGGTTTTTGTATTAGACCTGTCGTCCATTTATTTGTAAGTCAATGATTAGGCACTTCCCTATGGCAAATAAATAAATTTGGGATGTATTCATTGACCTAATGGTTGTATTGATATCTTTTCCAAAATGTACAGTTTTATTAGTTGATTGGCAGACTTATATAAAATATATGAAATAGTGTTGAATTTCCTGGGTATGGAATTGGTTTAAGTTCCAATGTGGATGCAAGGAACAATTAGTATAGTTCTCAGCTTATCTGAGAAGCTAGTTGCTTTCATTCGTTCATTCAGTACTGACTTCTTACCATGTCATGTTTCTAAACGTTCCTTATCTCGTAATTTATTTCACATCTCTAGGCTCAGATGACTGGCTTGAAGAAGAATATGAAAAAATTAAGAAGAATAAAACATTAACATCTTTGCTATCTCAACTGGAAAAAATTAAAAAAAGAAATGAGAAATACAATGATATGAAATTACGAGTAGCTAAAATGAAAACAAGTAATACAGCAAATAAAACAGAACTATATTTTCAAAATGCTGATAAGAGAAAGGAGTTGGAGAACAAAGAGAATGTTCGAGAACAAAGTGAGGAAGATACAGATCTTATTTTAGATGAATTTGAAGAAAATAATGAATCTAACGATGAATGTGATATGGAAGCAGTTGAGGATGAGGATAATGTTACAAAGGTAAATTGTTAACAGGTACCTCTATAATATTGTTGTACCTGGTACTTGGTGCAACGGGCTGGTATAATATTGTTGTAATGAATATTATGATGTTTTACCACCATAATATTAATTTATTTTGGTACCTCTATAGTGTCTGCACACTATAGAGGTACCAAAATAAATAATAACCCACAACCCATATAACCCAAACCTACATTTGGGTACCTCTACTACATTCTTATTATAATGCAAATCAATGTCCTAAATTCTACAACACAGATAAAACATCGGCATAAAACAGTTGATACAAGTAACAATGGAAACATCTACAATCCTGATAATTTTATGTTATGTTTATTTGAAATGAGTATATTAACAACCTCTTTTAGGCGTTTTTACCTCTCTTAAATTCCTCTTTCTTAAATATATTTTTAAAGTAATATAATAACGAACAACCTTATTGTTTTCTTGAAAAACTTGTATCCACATTGATCCTACTGGGCATCAGACTCGAGATTTCATCTAGCACCAAGGTGGTTGAATATTACAAATGCATTGCCCATGGGCACTCAAGATATTAAGTCTCCTATGTTAGTGCTTGATTTTAATTGATTGTTACTATATACTACTAATGTGCTTATTATAGATCTACATAAGCAGCAGAACACACAGTCAATTATCACAGTTTATTGGGGAAATCAAAAGAACAGTATTCAAAAACGGTACTAGAGTGGTCACGCTGGCCTCTCGACAACATTACTGCATCAATTCTGAAGTGAAGAGGCTGAAAAATGTTAATTTGATTAATGAAAGGTACATTTTGCTATTTACGGCTATTATTGTACATAAAAATTTTAGTTTGAAAAGTAATAAAATAAAAGGCCTGGAAAGCATCCATATTTATCTTGTAAAAGTCTTCCTTCTTTCCATGTATTTGAAATTTTTACAGTATAATTACACTTTTGAAAGTGCTTTTTAAGTTAGAATATTCAAGTTTACATCCATAGACCGAATTCATTCACTACTGCGTAGAGGCCTCCCGTAGCTTGTACCAGCTACCACAATCTTCAGCTGGTTTCATCTAGTAATGCCTAGCTACTTTGACTATGTCGTCACCCCATCTCGCTTCAGGACGTCCTATATTTCTATAACCATTTCTGCCACCATACAGTTGTCTCTTTACTCCATCTGTCATCACCAATGGCCGGAAAAAGGTGTTCCACATAATTACATAGATACATGTATAGATGTAGCTACAAGGAGCAACTTGAAGAGTTGTTGAAACCACCAAATATTAATTAATTACTTTTATCGAATTCCGGACTTCCGGATGAAAGAAACTCCTGTCTTTATTCTATTTATGACGATAAATGGGTAAGGCCGTAAAAATAGCACTTTTTCGTTTATTTTTTAATAAATTAGTAATTATTTTTCTTAAGTCCTACTAGTAAATATCGCCATTCCGTCGTCGATGCTACCGTCAATATGCAGTATCTAAAGCTAGGGAGGGACGGAGAGTGATCATTCTCGTTACTTTTTTATTATCTGTATCATTTCATTTCAGTATCATTTAATTAGAATTACTTTAAAATCTAACTTCGAATTCCTAGGTCAGTAGTTTTGTCATGCAATGCAGTAAAACCATTTCCGGAAATCCGGAATTCGAAACTAATTAATTATTATTTGGTGGTTTTAGCAACTGTATGTCGCTAGCTTTATCGATACATGTATCTATATACGTGGAACACCTTTTTCCGACCATTGATTATCACTCATCACCAAGCTTGCTATATATCCTCTCAGTTGCATTTCAGCTTTTTTATGCAGTTTAATATATTATTAACAATAGCTCATAGCAGAATAACAGCCCACGGGTTCCCCGCGACCGCTGAGTCATAAACCGTTTTGCCTTGCTAATTACCACCACGTGCAAATTTATTATAAAATTTATTCAAGGCAAACAAATGAATTTATTATTATTATTAATCAGATTTCTATGAAAACTTTAACAGATGTCTCGAACTCCAAAAGTCGAAATCAAAGCCCACGTCAGTAGGAGAAGACGGTCAAGTCATGAAAAAGTCGAAAACAAAGTCATGTACTGGCTGTCCATATTACAATCAGAACAACATAGTCAAATTAAAGGAACAAATGTTAGTGGATATCATGGATATGGAAGATTTGGTGAAATGTAGTAAAGAACTTAAAGCATGTCCCTATTATGCATCTAGAATGGCACTGGATGATGCAGAGGTAAGTGTGAACACATTGTTATTCATACAAAATGTGCATCATAAATCAGATATTTGCCTTTGTAGCCCATGTTACTACCTGCTATACTACCAGTAGTAACACGCAATTCGACTCATCCGTAGAACAAAGATCTATGTGCAAGACTTGTCACTACTTGTTCTCAGGATATAGTACATTTCGTTCGTTCTTCATCGCTGTGAATGTCAGATCGACCGTTGTTCGATTTTATATTTCCGAAACGAAATAAGATATAAAAATTCTCAAAACACCTTTACACACGCCTTAGTTTGAATAACGAAATTATGTATTTATCTTCTTTTCGCTGAATAATCTCATCGGACTTTGTTCTTCGGATGAATCGAATTATACTTTATCGTATTACTGCCAACCGGCCCACTATTAGTAAGATGGGATGTTTTCGTTTATATGAATATCATGGTGTTTTTACTATCATGATATTTATATATTTTTTGTCAAAATATTCCACATTTAAAAACCAAATTCATATAATGTGTATAGTTTATTTATATAATTTATATTACCAATTATTATTGTAATTGGTTGTAATATAATTGCAATAATTAATGACATATCTTGTGTACGAGATTAATAATAAAATTAGTTAGGTTACTAACTTAGTTAAGTGACATTGTAGTGCCCTAACAGGGTTCATGTGCTGGAATACTATTATGTAACACCTTTTGTTCATCCACATGAAACAATGAATAAATGAATTTTGAAAATACAAAGACACAACAACAAGCACATAGAAAAATTCGTGAGGTCCGCTGGTTCGTTCCGTGGCTTAGTTGGTATAGCGTCTGACACGGTATGCTAGAAGACATCGGTTCGTGTCCGGCCGGATACAAGGAAATTTTTTTTTGAGTGTTCGATCCTTGTATTAATAATTATAACAAGCTAGTGGAGTCATTTCATAAAAAAAATTGAATATCAATTCAATAAAAATGTATTCCACAAGTTTGTTATTATTATTGATACAAAGATAGAACATACACAAAGAAAAATTTCTTCTATCTGACTGGACTGAACTGGACTTCTAGAATCATGTCGTAGGATTAGATTAGAAGTAAGGCAGGGTAAAAAAAAAAAAAGGATCGGCGGGTTCGGTCTGTGGACCCCTTTATGAATTTCTCTATGTGCTCATTGCAGATCTTGGTATACTTTGTAAACGGCTTTTATGCCTTAACGCCACCTATGAGAAACTTATGAACTTGTTAATGTTCTTAACTTGACTAATAGCAATAAATCTATTACAGGTTGTCCTAATAAGTCACGCAGGGATAGTAAGTGCAGGAGCAAGATCTGGTGTTTCTCTTAAATTAAAAGACAACATTCTAATCTTAGATGAAGCTCATGGTCTTACAGCGGCTCTGGAAAATGCCCATTCAGCTCCTGTGTCATATAAACAGCTATCGTCAGTGAAAACTTTTCTTCAGTTTTATATTAATAAATACAGAGCAAGATTGAGCAGCAAGAATCTGTTGTCTTTGAACCAGATAACGTTTATTGTTGGAAAGTTATTAGGTATTTGTTAAAATATGTAATTAGAAATAATAATAATAATAAAGCACACACTCAACATAGCCCCGCACTAGGGAAACCCTGTGTTGCGGGTGCCATGGACACACATATACAACCACAAATTACACCCATACTCACGAGAGAAATAAATGTAGGCAATACAAATATTTCTCTCGGCCCTGGATTCGAACCTTGGACCTCTGCGTGGCATGGTAACCGTTCGGCCACAGATGCAGTTAAGATAAAAGTTTTATTACGACGATATCTTTGTACACTCAAGAGCGCATCACACTTGAGATTTTGGACCAGTGCCCGCTTTACCTATGGCACAGACTTTTAGGGAGCGCAGACGCTTTCAAAGAGTGCGCCGCTCACGGTATAAGTAAATGGCCTATTGCTTCCCAATATCATTTAGAATTACACATTTGCACTCAAATTTCCGATCACCGGGAAAAATTTTGATCCCTTACTTACTACAGGGTGTCAGGGTATAGATTATACCCGGGCGCTGCATGGTCTAGCGCCGGTGCTGCTTTGGACTTTCCACCCTTCTCAAGCTGCATAAAGTTGAATTTAAATCTTAAGTGTCAAGCTTTGAACAAACAGTACACCATATAATTTTAAAATTTGTAATAATGTGGGTTAACATTCCCTTATACTTTGTATGTTTAAAGTCGATACTACCTCAGCACGAATTCAAACTTTTCCCATACTTATTTATATAAATGTTCCGGATTAAATTCCAATGCTTTGATATTATTAAGAAAGAGAATTCCCTTGTTGGAGACCATATCATTACTTTAGTTATCTGGCACATTATTATTATTATCAATTCTTCTAGTTAGGGTTCCATCAAAACTTCTGGGGCATTCAATGATTTCTTTTTTGTACAGCTCGTTGTTTGAGCTTTTTAAATAACGTAGAATTCGAGGCACATCACAAAATAGGGTAATTTCCCCTAGAATTAACATCAAAGACAAAGTTCAGTTTCTCACCATTAATAACAACAATTCGCGCACCTGCTCAAAGTATCAAATTAAGACCCATTAAAGGTCTCGCCCGGATTCATATTTAATTTTAATCCTTACACGTTTTCTAATTACTGTATAATTTGTCACACTACCCTCTCCCTAGTCTGAAAATAAACCAGATTCCGAAGAATCGGAGAATCGGAGAATCCGAAGCATTATACTACGGTTCATTTTATTTAATTTACGCTTTATTTCAGAATTTACTTTTTTACAAACGAAATTAAAGTCATTTGAAAAATGTGTATTATGTAGTATACGTAGTCCATTTAGTTCATTTGATATAAAAAAAACCATTCGTATAATAATATGTAAACTCGCATGTAATATGTAAATTCGTATAATATATAATATGTACAGCGGTTATCTTGTAAAATTTCGAGGTAAGTTTGTGTGTTTTTTCTATTGTGAAAATTTTTAGGAATCGTGTACCTATATATATATATATATATATATCCCCAATTTTACTATATACGTTTGCCAAAGTGATTGATTCAACACTCACTATAATGCGGAATCAACCCTGGCCATTTGAGGTAGTATAGACTGTTCATTACGTAAAAATCAAGCAAAAAAGAAACCAATTCTTTCTTTCAGGAGTAATAAAACCGAAAACTCAAAACGAACGTAAACAAGAACTTACTACAATATACACTCTTGAAGATTTCGTTATAAAAGCAGAGATTGACCATTTAAATTTACGACCTCTAGTTGAGTTCTGTAGAAGCACCAGATTGGCTCCGAAACTCCATGGCTTTTCGATGAGGTACAATCAACAGATGTTGGAAGAGGACATGAAGAAGACTGTTGTAAAGAATAGTTCTTTCGAAGCTTTCATAAACAAAATTTCTAAAAAGAAAGTTGAAGAGGTTGTGGAAGTTAAACCTGAGAAGAAACCAATTGCTCAGGTACATTTTTTAGAATTAACGCATAGATTACACCACATAAGTAGTTAAAACACTGTTATTCTAGACAGTATTTATGTGTCACGTTATTTATTATTTATACAGGGTTATTTGCAAAAAACTAACAACCTCGCAGGACTTTATTACTAACACCATATACAACAAATTTAGTTCCGTGATTTTTTTACAAAGCAATAAATTTACCAAAAATAAACTTTTAAGTTTTTGTTGTGCTGTCTGATACTTTTAAGTACTGTGTTTGGCAGTAAGTGGATTAGCAACGCCTCCAGCATGGTTTCTTTTGCCACTTTTGCTTTCACTACCTTGGGTAGGCTGAAAAGATCCCTTTTAGAGATCAATCCACTTTTGATCAGCTAGTGTATAATCGACGTCCTCGGTGGCCCAACGGTTTGCACTGTGGGCGCTGAATGAAGAGGTTTCGGTTCTCGATAGAACCAATTTTGGAAATGTTGTTTTCTAAGTTGATTCTGGAGCGGGGTTTTGGGAAATACCCCAGAGTGAATTCCGCTGCTCTAATACTCATGGTACAGGAAAATCCCTAGATTGAGACCAGGTAATTGGTGTGATTGTCTAGCACATTATTAATGTTATATCTAATACTTTTTTATATTTCTTTTACATAGCAAACGAGTTATGAGTGACGATGAAACAATAAGTATATCATATAATACACAATCTAATAATATTGCAAATAATAGGTAATGATTAAAAAAGACTAATAATCAAATATTTACAATTCAGATGCCCTCAGAAACATCAGCAGGTAGCGGTCTGTATGCGATGCTGGACTTTCTACAAATGTTGTGCGATCGCAGCGAGAATGGGCGCGTTCTAGCACGGAGTGGAGATGACGGAAATTTGAAATATCTGTTGTTGAATCCCGCTGAACACTTTGCTGATGTTGTTACGCAATGCAGATCTGTTAGTAACGCGACTTTACTTTCAAAGTGTTTTCTTATAGAATAGCGTTGACTAAAGCTAATCGTGGTAATCCCCTTTATATCAATTGCAGGTTATAGTCGCTGGTGGAACAATGGAACCAATAAGTGAATTTCGCAATCTTCTAACCGTCAACATAGACAAATATGCTCAAATCAACGTAGTGAGATGCGATCATGTAGTACCGCCTGATAATGTACTGGCCGTTTGTTTATCAAAAGGTCCTTCTAATCTGAATCTCAACTTTTCTTATGAGAATCGAAAGAAGAATGAATTGGTTAGTAAATAAATAAGGCACACACTCAACATAGCCCCGCACTAGGGAAACCCTGCGTCGCGGGTGCCATAGACACACACACGGACAACCACAAATTACACCCAAACTCACGAGAGAAATAAATGTAGGCCATACAAATATTTCTCCCGGCCCGGGAATCGAACCTGGGACCTCTGCATGGCAGTACGGCATGGTAAGCGTAGTATGTATAGTATATGATAAAGATGTGCCGAGCACAAGTTTTACCGAGTAACCGAGTACCGATTATTACTCAGTTTACACGGCCGAGTTACTCGGTTCATTACAACCGGAACACGATGATCCTAAAAATCCCATTGCTCTAGAATTAGACCGATATGTCAATGAAAGTTTATTGTCTCGAGAACATAGTCCTTTCCAATGGTGGGCAGGGCATAAAACAAGAAATCCAAAACTGGCACAGTTAGCACGAGTGTTTTTATGTGCACCTGCACAAGCACTGTGTATAGCGAGCGGTTATTTTCCGTAGAGGGTAATATGTATGAAGAAAAAATGGACAGACTTACTTGAACGCGTAGCAAGCCTCTTATTCTTACATCATAACTTGCCTTTGTTAAATTTTAAATAATAATAATGTAAACTTTCTTTTTAAATTACTAAATTGCTACAAATTGTTACAATTGTCTAGAATTTCTATTAATAAATCTTGTTTGATTATTTTAATTAGATTGTTGGTTTTACTTTATTATGTCTATAGCTGTAATACTTTATTTTAACCAAGTACTCTTGTCATGAACCGAGTTATTCGGCCGAGTACACCGAGTACCGTGTAGCAAACGAGTACTCGGCTCATCTCTAGTATATGTATGAGTATTTCGTAGTTAGCATATGAGATCCGATTTTATAGGTTTCACCCGTTTTTATCGCGCTCAAACCGATCAAAAATAGGGGGTTCAATATTGATTGAACTTTCAACGAGTAAATTACAGGGTAAAGTTTAAATTATATTAACAGTCCAGAATTTGTTAATTCTTTTTAAATTGGAAACTGACCAATCCTTATCAAGATTTCAGTGTTCCAAATTATGAATGTGTGACTTTTGGCGATAGTGGTTCTGAGTAATCGAGGCTTAAGGCATTTCTATTGTTTTTTCTTCCGTGCATTAAATTTATGTAATAATTCCTATTGTTAGTAATTTGCCTACATATTTCTAGTTAAGTATAACTTATAGTCTTTAACCCACATCAGTACTTTCGTACCATCTGACGACTCCAACTGAAAAACAGCATTACAGTACATTTCAGCTTATAATTTTGGTCACTGATTACTTCTGTGTAAGTCTTAATAAGCGGAATGAATGTTTCTTTCTTTCGTTCTTCTTTTATGGGACAATTTTTTAATATATTATCCATGAATACGAATATTTCGATACTTCGGAGAAGAAAAGTCGTAAAAGCCACTTTTATCAAAAATCGTCTACTGCTTTTTTCAAGCTCTTTCAATCTGTTCAGTCGAAGAAATATTTTTCGTCAAAAAATAAATTTCATAAAAACAGCTATAAAAATACCAAAACATATTTCATGTTTTTCATTTGCCCTGCAAACTTTAGTATTTTTTGCTTTCACGCCTTTGGTTCCCTGAAGTATCTATTTATTTTGAAACGTATTTTATTGGTACCGCATATTTTAGGGAAGAAAGGGAGTAAAAACCAACTTGATCAGAAATGTCTTTTATCGATGTAGTTGGGTTAAAATTGCCTACTCAAAATTTCCTATTAGCCAAAAAATGCTTTTTTGGTAAACACACATTTTAAATGAACCAAAACGTTGTTTTTTGTTGTTCACTTGTGCAAATATTACTGTTTGGTTTTTACGCTCTTTCTTCCAGGAAGTACCGATTATGGTAATTTTGTTATACAAATAAGTCCCATAGTAAGTGCCAAGTTTTCAGATAATTAAATCAGGCGGAAGTTATCAATAAGCTAACAAAACTTTGCATTGGATTCCAAAAAATGATATAACATTACAGCTAAACGAAATTGGCAGAATCCTCAGAAATATCTGCAGCATAGTTCCAGGAGGGGTGATTTGTTTCTTACCCTCATACTCTTATGAACAAACAGTTTACGAGCATTTGAAGACTAACAAAGTTTTAGAGGCGATTAGTAAAAAGAAAACCGTGTTCCGTGAGCCGAAATCTGCCTCTGAAGTTGATCAGGTATTGAACTATATGATCTTCACGTTTCATTTACTCATTCAAGCTCTATAATCATGTACACGTATATACACGTACATAATAATGTACACAAGATTCTGTAGCATTAATTAATTAATTATTATGATTAATGTACGTCGTAATTGTATATCTGTGTTAGTAATAATTCCATGAATTTTCTTATAATAATAATAACGCACACACTCAACATAGCCCGGCACTAGGGTAACCCTGTGTCGCGGATACCATGGACACACACATAGACAACCACAAACTACACCCAAACTCACGAGAGAAATAAATGTAGGCCATACAAACATTTCTCCCGGCCCGGGAATCGTACCTGGGACCTCTGCGTGGCAGTCAGTCATGGTAACCGTTCGGCCACGGAGGCAGTTAAGTTCTTATAGTATGTAAAATAAACAATTATAAAATTGTGTCGCAGTAGAGCTCCTTGCGAAAGAGTTCGTCCAGGGAAGTACTGTGAGCATTTCTGCGTTTCGGTTTTGAAGGTTTAAGGGTGCCGACAAAATTACAGACACTGCAAATGCAATCCAGAAATATTTATTAGTCTCTATAAAAGTAGAAAAGTTTTGGTATAATAACTTAATCTTAAAAGACACGATTTGCGATTTAAAGCTCGAGCTGCACTGCATCTGTTATGGACAGACGTGCCGCTTACCACCAGGCGCACGACTTATTCGTCCTGTCACTTGTATCATAAAAAATTATACATAGAGAAAGTAATCGGAAGCAGTTTTAAACATTTTAATTTGGAATAAATCTATGTATGTCTCTTTCAGGTATTACATAAATTTGCAGTAGCGGTAAAGAACAAAGAACGTCACGGAGCACTATTATTCAGTGTCGTAGGAGGGAAACTGAGCGAAGGATTGAACTTCAGGTAGGTTTAAAATGTTTTAGATACAGTTATACAGATTATGAGAGTAAAAAAGTAATTGCAAAACTGCATAATCATTACCAATCTACGAATATGACGTTCAAAATGCAATTTTTTATATATAATATATTTGTGTACCAAATCGGGGTGAAAAATATTCTTGTACCCTGTGCCAATGCCGGAGAACAGCGCCTCTCGATTTTAAAAATTTGAAATTCCTTTAGGCTATAGGAGACGCGAGAATATAAAATAGATAATAATAACAATAATGTATTTATTTTCCCTACGAACACAACACAATCAAAATAGTAAATACGTAATATAGTTTACATTTTTTGCAGGCGAGTGGTACCTACACTAAGCAGAAGCTTGTTATAATATTACAAATTAAAAAATACAAAAGTAAATTTATTTACTAAGCCTCCAATATGCTGTGCAGTTCGTTGGCGACATGTACAATCTTCTCTGTATATAGGATGTCTTGTACAGAAATTTCTCTTACTATATCAACATTTTAGTATGATACTTTAAGTGTTATTTACCATTATATAGACTTGTCACGTGTTGGACATAATAATATGTTAAGTAATAATTACTAATTTTGAAAAACTTCTTTAAAACGTACATGTTTTTGAATAGTTGATTTGTTCCTTTTACGTCAAGTTTGGTAAATAGAATTTTCGCCCTTGACTACACACGTATTCCTGTAGTAAGTTTTTTTCATTTACCATAAAAGACATGTTACGCAACAACGTTTCTACACAACGACGTTTCCTGTCGCGTTTTAAAGCACTAAGGTTCGGTATAATGCGAACTGATATCCACACAATATGCTTGAGTAATTAATATTTATTCATTTATTTAATAGTTTATTGTACAGGAAAAATACAACAAGTCACAAAGAATACAAGGAAAATGAAAACAAAAGGTTCTGCTTATTTCTAATAGAAATTTCTTCCTGCAGACCTAAATACAGGACACTATGACTAAAAGAACGGGCATACGTGCACAACAAAACAAAAAAATATAATATAAAAATAATATAATAATATTAAATTGTTGTAAATTATATAAATACTTAGATAAATACATATTTTATAATATAATACGTAAGATATGGATGGAATAGTAGATAAATAATGCTCTTTAACTCTCACTTTAAAAATAGCTAACGATTTACTTTCGTAAACAGTAATAGGAAGTGCATTCCAAAGTCTTACCGCATGAACAGTGAAGGAGTGAGAATATGAAGTAATTAGTAATATAGATGTTTGAGTAGATAATTACATATTTTTTCTAGCGATGACTTAGGGCGCTGTGTCATGGTTATTGGCATGCCATACCCGAATGTAAAGTCGCCAGAACTACAAGAGAAAATGAACTATATGAATGAAACTGTTGGCGGTGGAGCCGGCAGCATTTACTATGAGAATTTGTGTATGAAGGTCGTCAACCAGTGCATTGGTACGTTGGTTTTTGTATTTTATTCAATATTTATAAATATGTTAATAATAATACCAATCCATTTATTTCAGACTTACATTCATCATTAATATTTGTTAGTAAAGAAAAATACTTAAGCTAATGTTAGGTTTAAAATAATGCTTTCAGTTACATTCTTCAAATTCTATGTTTTCCTGTGCAGTAAAAATATTTAGCATTATATTGTATCACTATATAGCATTATATTTAAGCTACAATCTCTGATAATTTATTTCCAGGTCGAGCAGTACGCCATGCCAACGATTATGCGAGTGTTATATTGGTAGACGAAAGATATTCGCGACCGCAAACTATGGCTGCGTTACCCTCTTTTGTGCAAGTATGTCTTCATAGTGTACTTTGGGTTATTATAATGTAGAAAGTAAAATTATTTAGGCTTTGTGATTTTAGCAGCATAATCCTTTTGTAAGCTAAACAATTTAAACAATTTCAACATATGTGCCGTTGTTAGATTACTTTGTTTATCTGGATGGTGGTGGTTAGGTCTTATAAAATAATAGTCATCAGATTCCGTCACTATTGGTACTGAAATAACAATTTTCAAATAAACCGTTTTCAATTATGATGTCGGAAAATGTTTTTTGAAGAAATACTTTTTTTTGCCCTATTAGCTTTCTGTTAAAAAATATCTTCAACTAGTTGGTACCTATGTACATAGACATGGCTTTTACACAAACATACATACATATAGCCGAACAAAAAAGTGAGAATATGTAGTAGTAACGTTTATATTTAAATTAATACCTTTTAACATCGAGTTGGTGCAGCCTTACTTAAACTTTATTGAAAAAATGAACTTAATTAAACCAATGATTTTTTTAATATTGTGACAAAGCTGTAAGAGCTTAAAATTAATAATATTAATAATAATAACGCACACATTCAACATAGCCCCGCACTAGGGAACTTGTGTCGCGGGAGCCATGGACACACACATAGACAACCGCAAATTACACCCAAACTCACGAGAGTAATAAATGTAGGTCATACAAATATTCCTCCCGACCTAGGAATCGAAACTGGGACCTCTGCGTGGCAATTCGGCATGGTAACGTTCGGCCACAGAGGCAGTTGAAAATTGTAATAGTGTTGATTGAAATGCATAGCAATTTATGAAATAATAACGCACATGCACACACTCAACATAGCCCCGCACTAGGGAAATCCTGTATCGCGGTTACCATGGACACACATAGGTACACACATCAAAAAAAGTTTGCGATCAATAGCATAAGCTCCTATAATTCTTTAAATTTAACTTTATCAAGAAAAAATCTATGTTGTATGCTTTCTTTAAATAGGAATACCCTGTTTGAAATTAAAATATAAAACTATTTTTTATTATTTATTTTAAAAAATTGAGCCATTAATCATAATGTAATAGTGATAGAAATTTCATAGAAAGAAAAAGACTGTTTAATTAAACTTAAACAACAATTTATTATTAAAAGGTGTGAATTCAATATAAAATAACTCCTCCCCTGGCTCGAATACATGCGAAGATCCTCCTGGGCATGCTGAGGATCAAGTTATCCAGCATTTCCTGGGGTAACCTATCCCATTCTTCAATAGCGGCTTCCCTGAGCTCTGGAACTGTCTGGGGACGTGGCTCACGGTTCCATACTGCTGGTTTAAGAGCATCCCACGCGTGCTCTATTGGGTTTAAGTCGGGCGAGCCGGCAGGCCAGTCTAATCGTGTGATATTGTATTCTTGAAGAGCAGCATTGACTCGTTGAGCTCGATGTGCAGGCGCATTATCATCGACCAGTACAAATTGGTGCCCATGGTTTACTCGGAATGGTCTGACGATATCATCAATAGCAACTGTTTTGTACATGTCTGCTGTCATGAAGCCCCGATACGGGATCAAAGGCGTTCTAGCTCCAATCATAATGCCACCCCAAAAGGACACCGATTTTCCGCCTTGCTGAACTGTTCCTGTGGCAGTTCTTTGTCTTTCACGGTCGCCTGGTCTTCTCCAGACACAGACACGTCGGTTATGTGGATGAGTGCTGACTCGGGATTCGTCAACGAAGAGACAGTTTTGCCAAATGTTTTCGTCCTCACCTTCTTCATTTTGCCGAAGTCTAGCCCACTGCAATCTTCGTTGTTGACGTTGCCGGGAATTGAGCGGAGCTCGCCAAGACCTCCGTGCTCGTAATCCAGCCTGGTGCAAGCAATTGCGAACGGTCTGCGTGCTAACTTCAAGCCCAGAGGCGGCCCTGACTTCTGCTTTTATTTTAGTGGCGTTGATTGTTGGATCACGGGCTGCCAGCAATCTAATATAGCGCTTTTGCGCAGCTGTCAAAACAGTTGGGCGACCGCTGCGGGGTCGGTCAGCTAAATTCCCCATTCCGTGATACCTCTGCAACGTAGCCACGACACAGGATTGGGATATAGCAAGTCTGCGTGCTATTACTCTCGTGGTGTATCCTTCTTCCCTCAAAGTTACTATTCTAGCTCGTAAAACCTCTGATAATCCTCTTGGCATTTTTTCAATCACAACTTTCCGCGAAAAATATCTTGAATCGCTTATAATTGACTAAATCAGATTTCTGAATGAGCGTAAGCTAGGACTGTAAGCCTTTTTATATGAAAAAACAATTGAACGGGGTCATTGTTTTATGTTCTAATTTATTTTTAAATAAAGAATCTAAAAAGAAGAAAAAAATCATAATATAATCTACAGTAACAAAAAAGATTTCAGTTTTTCGAAGTGATCGCAAACTTTTTTTGATGTGTGTAGACAACCGCAAATTACACCCAAACTCACGAGAGAAATAAATGTAGGCCATACAAATATTTCTCCCAACCCGGGAATCGAACCCAGGACCTCTGCGTGGCAGTCTAGCATGGTAACCGTTCGGCCACGGAGGCAGTAAATTTACAATAACTCAATCAAGAAATTACAAGAAATGAATGAACAAATTACAGTCGATTAATTTTTTCTTTTCAAATTTGACCTAAAATAAGAATATAGTCATCAGCCTGATTTGAACAAAACACTGCACACACACATTATTTTGGGAATTCTACTAATAATGCTGATGAGTGTATTAGTGCAGATAAAAACAATGGTCATGATCATCAACTAATGTTAATTCCACTGGGCATGGGTCTTTTCTAAGAAAAGGGGATCTTAGTTTTTTTTAAATAAATTACAGTCATCATTAGAGTATTTAGTGTGAATAAGTACCCGTCATCGCGTCAGTGTTTAAATGAATAAAAAATAACTAAATAAAAATAAATCTTTATTTAAAAGTTAAAGAGACATTAATTGCTCTTGTGAAATACGTTGAAAGGCCTGTGACTGTGGCTCAACAAAATTATTGATTTCACTCGTGTTTTAAACTTTTTAATAGCTACACATGAGCTACACGCATCTACTGTCTTATTTTTAAAATGAAGTAAATGAAACCTTTTCCTTTTTCAGAAATCACTAATATCCAATTGCACTTTTGGACCAACTATTGGAAGCATTGCAAAGTTCTTTTCAAGACATAAAGACAAGACTAAGTAATAAAATATTCTTACATGTGTCTTGGACCCTCCATCTCTGGAAGGAAATGACAACCTGCAAACAGATTGACTGCATGTCTTTTTTTTTAATAATATGAAGTGACGGGACGAATGACTCGTGCGCCTGATGGTAAGCTACACGCCTGTCCATAACAGTTGCAGTGCCACTCAGAGCTTTAAATCGCAAAGATGTGAGGAGCACTATCCGCCCGTCACCCTGGGACATTACAAGTCCCATGTGCCTGTAGTTTCACCAGCACCCTTACCCTTCTAAACCGGAACGCGGTAATGCTAACATTACTGCTTTTGCGGCAGTAATAGGTAAGGTGGCAGTTACCTCCCTGGACGAACTCTTTCACAACGAGCTCTACTGCTGCTAAATGCTTATCAACTTCATGCAGTCGAAAGTCGGCTCCTATATCCGAGACCTCGACATCATGAAGTGGACAACGATTTCACGCATTAACTGCATGCAGTCGAAACCGACTTCATGCAGCCGAGATCGACTGCATGCTGTTAATGCGTGAAATTATTATAAACTTCATGCTCGAGGTCTCAGCTGCATGCAATTGATTACGACTTCACGCACTAATTGCAATCATGAAGTCAATCTGTTAGCAGTAGATAATGCGAGCACACACATGTCTACGATACCATCAAATAATTTATATTATGTTAAATTGCTTTTAAAGTATTGTATACAACTTGAATAAACAAATAATTTCAAAATCAGCCTACTTTGTTTTGCCCGACTGCCCCAGGAAAAATATGTTTGCTTTTTCAATTGCCGACAAATTAAAATTTGGTCTACCTAGACTACATATTTGTTTAATTAGGTGTTTGCATTTTATGTAACGGTTATAAAGAACTTCGGTAAGCCACAATTTATGGTAACGTAATTCGCCATTCACAATCTAATATAAATATGACAGCTGAGACCTAGTACTACCACTTGGTAATACAATAGCATTTATCCTGATACTAGACTAGTACCGGGATAAATTCCATGGAGATATATATGCAGGATAAATGTAACGTTGCTTCTCTCATGATGTACGACTCTTCGCTGTTGAGAATAGATCCCGCCTTGTGGTATACGAAACAGTTTTTATGAAAGTCTCATGCAATAATTTGTAAATACACGATAATCATGCAGCCCAATTAATGGCAACTTAATACTAACAAACTTAGATATTATTCTAAGCTAACAAAACATAAACTAAAAAAAGTTTGGAAGAAATCCTATATATTTATGACATAAGCTCGCCTTTGTACGTACATTAACGTTGGAAATAATTTGGTTTGTTGTACAATAAAATAAAGTGTTCACCTGTAAATTTAATAAGAAATACATCAAAAAATAATAAATTCTATACATATAATTATTGCAATTGATTTCAAGTGGAAGTTGTAAAACCACAAAGTCATTACAACTCCCTTTTAGTAGAGCAGTTTTTCATGGTCTAAAGTTGACATTTGACGTAATCCGTGCCTATGAGTTCCGCGCATTCAGTTTAGTTTCAAGATGGAGCTATTTCGAAAGCTAAACTTAGCCGCAAACATTTTTTCCTACGTTTTTCAACTTTGACCAACTATAACCAGCAATCGGTTTGTTTTGAAATTAAGAAGCAACATTTACATAAAAAGTACGATTTTAATCTATTTGAATTGCGTTTTTCAGTATGTAATCTTGAAAATTGAAATCCGCGGGCGATCCGTAACATCAGAATTTCATCGTTCATTCAAACAGATGTTTGTCAAGTCAAATATGAAATCGTTCATTCATCACCTTGTCTATGGTTTATGCTTTGGCTATGAATAAATGGAGGTTTGGTATTTTTAAATATTATTATTGTTTCTTACAACATTTATCAAAGGAAGATCATTTTTGCTTAATTTCGTATTCGGTTGAGTAAGAAGAGTACTTCAAGATAATGGTGCAGCTGTCGTTTACTAAAATCAAATAAAAATTGTACTCGCCATTCAAGCTGTATTGTATTATACATATGATAGAGTACTTGTAATGCTAAGAGCGCTTACACGCGGTGACTTTTAGAAGTGATACAAACGCGTGTTTATGAAACGTGGGATTGCATAGCGAGACTTGCGATTTATTGGCAATTGTATAGATGCAAACGAGCTACAGTATCGATGCAGTAGTTTAGTTTTAATATAATGTATTAAAAAAAATCTGTATGTGCATAAACATGCACATCGTTTTGTTTTGTTCATTGAATGGCCTAATTCAGGAAATCCCTAGTCCATTTAGGGACTTTATGCACCATTATCACCATTGGCGTAAACTTTACATTGTCTATGTTTTAGTCTCACCGTTTTGTTTCTATGCTATGAAAAATTATTAAACTCCCAAGTCCAATGAGTTGACTTCAAAATCAACCTAAATCCAACAAATCCGTTAGTCCATCTTTTTTATATAAGTACATATTGCTAAGTTGATACTGAAGGGTTTGAAGCTCTTGGAATATTCATTTGCTAGATTTTTATGACATTAATACGCAAATGGCAGAATACTCTGAAGATGAAACAGAAGAACAAGAATGAGACTTATTCTAGTTCTTCTGTTTCATTAGTATCTTATTTCGTTCTTCAGTTTATAGTCATGGCTCATCATCACTTTATATCTATAAGTCCAGAAAGAAAATCCCTAATGCCGGGTACATGAGTCTTTCACTTCGTTTTTCGCTAGCTTGCGTTGTCTAGGTCACGGCGTAGAAATCTGCCTTTCGCGCAAAGGCGTTCACGAGTCTTCCGCTTTGCGTTGGGGAGAGACTGACAGATTGCGCGCATGCACGGCGCCTTGTCTTTGTTTTGGTTTTATTGGACGCGTGGACGTGATGCTGTTCTCCGCAAATGTTCCCTGTTGCTTGTGGAAATATCAAACATGCTTGATATCAAACACATGCAACGCAAAGAAATCCAATGCAAAGCAAGCGACTGGCGCAAGCGAGCGACACGTGTACAGTCCTACCTGCGTGCACAGGACAGATGTTTGCGTATGCGCGAAACGGGTCACGCAAACAAGCGAAAAACGCAATTGAAAGACTCGTGCACCCGGCATAAGTCCAGAATAAAGAAAGTCCCGTTTAAAACTCCCTAAGTCCCAAAGATTTGGTTCTAAGTCCAATCTTATTTTTGGCACATTTCTTCTAGCAACATTCAACAATTCAGGCTATCAGAAAATATAAAAAAAAACAAAAAGATTGTACAATATCCAGAAACTAAAAAAACCGACTAAGGGATTTCTTGAAATGGGCCATTCAATTGTGAATTTAAAAGTGAAATAAATAAATTAAAAACGTGCATCATGTTTGCATAGCGATCCCTATTCTATTTATTATTACTGCTTCCCTATTAATGCTTTTATAAATTTTGTTTTACTTGTTTCTGTTTTTATTAGTTTTGGTAATTTGCTATAAATTTTAATTGATATCATTGAATGATTGACATAATAAATTTAGAAAAGTTAATTTCACCATATTGATTTTACCGGGAATCAAACCTAGGAACTTCTATCCAGTGCTAACCCTCGTGAGGTCGTCATCGTAAAGAACTCGAAACTCAAAAAGAAGTAGCATAGATTATTGATACTTTCTAACATCGTAATCGTAATTTAATGGATATGGAAGTTAATCAATAATGTCTACACTAGTCGCGAAATTACAATCTTATATCATAAACAGGCGCGTAATAAAACATGACACACATGCTATAAGGTATTTATTATGTTAAAATTTAAGTGTTAAAATTAAAATACCATGTTGAGGTCAACTATTTTTTAATAATACCAACGATAATGTGTGTAATAAACAAATAAAGCTTCGGAAATTGGCAACGTCGTTGGCAGTCGGTTTACGGTAAGTAACTACTAATTACAGTATATACAAATTTAAAACATTAGAAATTCACCAGCTGTTATGTTAATATTTTAAAAGGGACGGACGTAGTCCTCGTATTTAAAATCCAAGTTGTAAATAATGCGAAGTGTAACGTATTGCAACGGACATTTTCGCATTTTGAATTTAACCATAGACAATCACGTTCTACATGATTTTGATTAGTGGCTAGGTGATTTCGTGCTACAGTTGGTAATGTTCGTCAGATTTTCAGGATTTTGTGGACTTAATATATTATTTTTGTAGATAATTTCACAATAAACTAACTTTACTTCAGTTCTTTTACGTTTACAAACTTTATGTGTGCGTGTTGTGGATTTAGATCGCTGAAAACTGTTCTAAACCTTTGGTTTCGGAAGTCGTGAATTTGTCTCAAAGTGATCTCTGTTTATCCCTCATGCTGTGATACTTGGGCAATATTTTAGTTCTACAATGGACATCGACGTTAGTAAAGAGAATATTCAGCCTCTGAGAGGTGGTAGGAACCTCACGCAGCTAGGCACTGCTTTGCAAGCTCAGTCGGACTTGGACGCTCAACGACAGCTTCATTTGCAAAAAGAGTGAGCTTTTTTGTATTTATTGTCTTTTTTAGTGCTCAACGCTTCTTTTTCACTCTTTTCTACCTTCCTAAGTATATGAAACACGCAATGTAAATAAAATTTTAATGGCAACGTCAGTATTTCACTATCATAATAGTGGATCAGCTGATTGCACCATACGTAGTGTATCTTTGCTTAAACGTTGTCATTTTGGGTGCAGAGAACATGAAGCAGCTATCAGGCACTACCAGGGCCCAGATCCACTGGATCCTTGGTTCACTTACATCCAGTGGGTAGAGCAGTGCTTTCCCAAGCATGGCCATGAGGGTCACATTGACAAGCTCATTAAGGACTGCTTGCAGCTGTTTGAGAAGGATGAAAGATATTTTCAGGATAGGCGGTTTGTGAAATTGTGGATTAAATATGTAAGTACCATTAGAGACTTACAACTGTGTAATGAATCTTAAATATTTTAGAACTGGACATTTTTGCAACACAAAATTGTATGTGCGTTAATGTTTTAATTCAATTATTTTTACTAATTTGGTTATTGAGTAAATAATCGATATAACAAATATGAAAATACAAAAGTGTAATATAATACTTTGTATTACACCATTGTATGTTCACACTGGTTATGCTATTCATACCAATTAATCTTCAAACTTGTACTTATACAATTAGTCAAAGAATTATATTTTATGCTGTCTATATTGTAGATTGACTGTCTATCCAATCCACTGGAGATATACCAGAGGTTGTACAATTGTGGTATTGGAATTGAATGCTCAGAGTTTTATCGAGCATGGGCGTGTTACTGTGAGGAGTCTGGGGATTATAAGAAGGCAAATCAAGTATATGTACTGGGATTGCAGGCTAAAGCTCAGCCTTTGGATGAATTGGAGCAGGCTCATATGTAAGTTGCTTGGTCTATCTAGTAATTAGATACAAAATTAAGTAACAATCAGGGGAATAATGATATGGTGTCAATCTGTTATTGATTAAGGTGAAATATTACTATTGTATAAAAAAAACCAATTATCGTACAATGCATCACATTGTTAAAAAAAATGTTATGATTTAAATCACATTCTTATCCTGACCTGTTTAATTGACAATAAGAATTTTTGTTTTTCATTTCAATTTCTGTTTTAGAGAATTTGTTAAATTGTATATTGCAAGCCTGGATTACTAGTAAACAAGTTTTAGGAAATGTTGTTTCAAAGAATTGTGAACATCTTCCTAACTCAAGGACATAATTCAACAAAATGTTATAAGACATTATGATACATAGTCTGGTTGGGTGTTATATCTTAATATAATTAATAAAATTTAAGAAGGGAGTTTAGAGAGGTAATATTGAGGCTCAACCTGAATTGTAAGAAATGATGTAAATTATAAATTGATAAAGAATTTGTTGCCTATTTGTGAGACATATTGCAATTATTTTCTCAAACATAAACTTGATCTAGTGTCTTCATAGTTTCTTATTATTTAATCTTGTTATGATCAATCAAAGGTTTACACACAATCACAATCATAGTGACATTACAAACTTACTACATCTTGTATAATCTAACCTTCAAATTTAACTTAACAACACTGTATGGTGTATGTATTGTATTATTCAACAGAAACTTCCGAAAGTGTAAACACATTGAATAATGTATGATTACTTCATAATTTATATACCAGACATTGTTGTGAATTAGCTTAAGATGTTATTTTATTATTCCTTGCAGTATTACAATGTGAAATACATACTGGATATTAAATTTAAATATGTAAGGCACAGTTAAATCTCTAGTTGTTTCATTTTATCTTATTCTTGATACAGACAGCATCACATCAAGCTACATATGTTGCACTGGAGGCAATATTTAATTAAAGTGTATAGCTAGATGTGCTGTTGACATACAATAAACTACTATTTTTAATATAATGAAATGTAACATCTGAAACTTAACACATTTTTTTCATTCCTTTATTGGTGAAATGACAGTGTTTCCTTTTATTTTGTTGTCAATGTCCATGCTGCGAATAAAATAAACTAGTCCATTAAAATTCTATAACATGGTGGAGGTTAAATTCTATCTTTTCACTGTTTAACAATTTAACCATAACTACTTTTCTCACCAGGAATTTCCAGCTGTTTTTTGCTCAAAGAATGTTACATGATGACTCACCAACAAAGAGAAAGGCAGCATCTGCACTGGCTGAAACAAGATTGGCTTTAACATCCCTTAAGTCTTTCAAACGACGTAATATAGCTGTAGTGCCAGTGCAAAGAGTTGGTGAGAACATCAGGAGTGTTCTGCCTGGAGTAGTAAGACAGCAGCATCAAGGTTTTGAAAATAGAATGCCTAATTCTAATGTCATGATAAACGTGTATGAGGTCAGTCTTATTCTTTTAATATTGTTTAGACCATAATTTTTACTGTCACAAGAAAAATGAAAGTATACCAGTTGCAGTTTAGGAAACTTATGTTTGTTGGTCTAGTAGACCACGCAAAATAGGCGCCTTGACGTCGAGTTGCGGACACTAGCCCGTTACACCAAGTACCAAGTGGTCTAGTAGACAAACTATGGCTCTACTACATCTTTAGAATATAGTATCTAGCTTTCAAGATTTAAATATTAACATATTTGGTTACATTTGAAATAGAAATGCAATTGTGATAATGTTGAAATAATAATTATAAAAGATATTAAAATTAAAAATGTATATTTAAGGACGCCCCGTCTACATCTCGAACTGTGATCCCTGTCGCAGAAGACCCAGGTCCTGCATCCATAGTGCAAGCTTGTAGCAATGTTGAGAATGAAAAAGAAGTTGGTATTTGGACAAATCCCAAGACAAAAATGGTCCATAGCAATGTAGTGCCCCATCAGCCATTGCCTTTTACACGTAAGTATTATTATTTTGAATTATGTTAACAAGTATGTGTGTGATTGATTATGGACTCTTGATATTGGTGTATTATTAAAAATAGGGGCACAATTTACTTTTTTATAAGGCAATTGGGTTCAATGTAGGTTAAATCGGTGTATTTTTGAATTGGTTATTTAACACAAAAGAGTATTTTTTTGTATTGGGTGTGTCCTCACAAGAGCCTGTCCTCACAAGAAAGTAAGACACAAGCAGGAAATTTAAAATATGTGTATATTTTCACGTGTACAATGTTCCGCGAGCAGTATATTTTTTACGAAAATAACAACTTAACAGTTCCATAAGGGCTTAAGTTATGAAGACTATATATTATATTCTCTTAGTCTAACTGCCCATTTGACCTCCATCTCACCTGGTGTAAATACACCAAAATATGCATATTCACTCTCGCTTTGAAAACGCCTATACAGTTATTGATACAATTGATGAAAATATAATAACTTAGAAATTGTGAAGTAAAAATTTCGAATCATTAAGGTATTTGCGGCTCAAAACAGCTTTTGTTTAGGAGATCGCTATGTTTGGATATACTACATTAATCACACTGCAAATGCGGGTTGTGAACTATAAATATCCACGGGATTTGTGAACTCTTTTAGATAAACAGGGTTTCTCACGATATTTGCCATTATGGATTAACGCATTCTTTTCAACATAGCGTTTGATCGCACTCTAAGGAACTACATGTGATCCCTGGTTCGTGTCCCAGTTGATAGAATTTAGCAAACGAACTTTAAATTAGTTTTCTTTTTTTTTTTATTAAAAAATAAGGACATTTGGATAATGCTCACTTAAATAATGCCTATTGGGTACTACATGTGATCCCAGGTTCGTGCCCCACACTTAAATAATGCTTATTCACTCTCGCCTTGAAAAGGCCCAAGTTATATCATTCAGGGAACAAGTCTGCAAGCAGGAAATTTCACTCCATAGCCGTTCGCCACATTTTCTTCTGGGCGCGTTTTAGTATATAGTCATAGTTGATATAAATTTTTTTTGGTCAATAACAAAAAGTCTTTTAAAATAAAATGTAACCTTATAAACATACGCATTCCTGCTTTTTTATATTCAAACACGCATTCATTTTTTTTTGTTGACTTCAAGAATGATCTGGCATTTAGTGGTCAAATAACCGTTTTAAATGGCAGAAAATAGAGCACAAAATTCTCTTTTAAAAACAATTAAAATTAGTTAACGTGTTCGACATATCGGAACTTACCCTCACGATACATAACTGAAACATCATTAAACAATTTCAATATTCTGAAAACGGGGTGGTTTTTATGATATCTCAACAAAATATTTTGTTACTAAGCCGCGCTTTAGTTAGTAGACGGCAAAAATGTCGTCATATCTGATGCTTTTAAATGTTTTCTGCCTGTTCATGAATTTAATTGTGTACGAATTTTAATTGTTATTGAAATTGGCAACAGTTTATCAAGACGAAGAAGACGTGTTACGATTGTCGGCGAAGCACATGCCTCACTGCGTGGACGATTTGACATTTAATGTGCCTCTATGTGTACCTGATCCTCCCGACCCAACTAAGATTCCTTGTTATAATAAGTCACAGGTAACTATATAATTTACTTTATAACACTTAGGGCGCTTTTCCATTATGACGTAACGTTTTATTATATACCGTATATATATACCGTTGGACGACTGTCGCGTCTAACCTGGGGGTCTATTCTCGATGTCCGTCTGACGTCCGTCCGAAACAATTAGTGCCAAATAAGCAATACTTGACCAAATGAAAAGACGCGTGATGCGAATGAAGCTTCATTGGTACTTGTCTTTTAATTTTGTCGAATATTACTTATTTGACAGTAATTGTTTCGGACGGAGATCGAGAGTAGCTCCCCAGTTCTCATATCACGAAAATCTGTCGTAACTGCGTTGTGGACGTTTATTTTATCGTTGAACGACAATTTGTCGATGCACGTGCAGACAACGATAAATAGAACGTGATGACAATAGTAGCTGCGACTATCTGCCGTCACACTTTTTATCGTGAACTACAGTTAATAGTGTTGTACTATATATATGAACAACTTCATTTAAATATACAAGCCACGACACTTTAAACTGCTCGACTACGCGCCCTTAATTGTTTAATTTTATGATCACTGTCTATTTTTCGTTCTCGCGTTTTATTAAAGCGCCGCGCATACGTGGACATTTCAGAGTCTTGTGTTGGATACAAGCAACCAGCTACTAGTAGTGTCTGTTCTATTTTCATACATTTAATATGAAATCGATCACTATATGCGTAGATGCAGACTCTTTCCAGTAGGATCCACTGGACACATACACCGATTGCCAATAAAAAACTGTTCAATAGAACTAGAAACGGATGTCGTCATGGTTTATTAACCGATTTCAAAAGCGGAGGATGTGTATTTTTATTATTTTTATAACCGACTTTTATTATGCTTTCTTTTGGAAAGAGGGTACCTCATTATTGCTCCCATTTACATTTGTAATAAAAGAAATATTCCACCTCTCAGGGTGGCAAACTAGGTGATGATTTTAAGTCGGTTTTTTTTCTTTAAAAATGTTATACTTTTGCCTGTGAGTATTGACGGCGACGATATCTGCGTCCACGTATAATCAGCACAACAAGCAAAAAAAGTGTAATTTAATCGACGTCTGTCGAGACAATGACAGAACACTCGGGAATTCAAGCACCGAGATGCAATTAGCGTTACTCATGTCCAGAAGTAGCTACCAGCGACTGCGTCCGGTTACCGTTACCGGACACAGCAACCAGGTTTTCCTGTGGTGGTATCTTACGTCGATAACCTAAAGAGTCTACGTTTGCGTAGCGCTTATAGCGTGGTGACTTGCTTATATTTCATCGTCACTATTGCTATAAGTGAGTCACCACACAAAAAAGGCACGAAATTGCATTCAACCGTGCAGAAAAACCTTTATGTCCATGTAATAAGAGCACGTGCGAGTGAGACATCCATGTCTCTTGTTGTTGGGTCAAGTATGTTCCCATTGAAGTTATCCATGACGGGACTTCCAGTCTGAAAAATCCCGTATCATGTACTATAAAAATTTACTGGTAACAGGGTGATATTAATTTCAGTTTTTTATAGGAATTTGGAGAATAAGTTTACTTCGATATTTGTCGCTATTTATTTTTACATTAGACCGAATGTAATTAATGGACTATAATGACGCTTAATATGCATGCAGTTTCGTTTATGAAAATTCACTTTTGCATTATAAATAGTATAGAACAACAATCGATTTACTGGGAACTTGTAATTACGAAAATTAGTTAAGTGTTCTGAATTTTAGTAACATAAACTGTTGTTATGGAGCAAGGCAATTGTATTCTTTATACTTTTTAGGTTTATGTTAATGATAAGGAATACAGTTTAGAAGAAATAAGGTCAAGAAAATATAATTTGCAAAGAACTGCTAAGACTGAAAAACAGGAAACTGTCCAAGCCCAAGAAAATTTTAGTAATTTCAATGAAACTATGGCCCAGTGTAGTGCACTGGAAACATTAGCTAATTGTGCATTAGACGCTGAGCAGGATCATTTAGGACAACTTATGCCTTTAGCTATACCTGCTTTACAAAATATTACTAAACTAACAAATATGCATTCGCCCGGTGAGCCAAAGGTGCTAGTAAATCTTGATTCCAAGGAGGTTAGTGAACATTCTGCAAAGAAAAACGACGATAGTCAAAAACTTGGCATGCCTGATAAAGAGAACCAGGTTGGTGCCAGCAACAATAATTATGGGTCTGATAATGGTGCAACGAATTATGGTAAAAGTAATTATGTGGAAGATTTCAATAGAAGTTTGATGAGCAACTTATTGGGTGATTCTGTCACTGTTAACACAAAGGAAGCTAGATGGGAGTTGAGGAACATTTTCAATGATAATGGTGAGAGATATTTTTATATAAATACGTTTTCGTTACACAGGGCGACTTTTAGCAGCGATGCAAACGCGATGCGGCAACGATTGCATCGCTACACTTACGATTTATTGGCGATTGCATCGATGCAAATGCGCGACTGCATCGATACAAACGCGCGATTGCCTCGATACAAACTCGCGATTGCATCGATACAAACTCGCAATTGCATCGATACAAACTCGCCATTGCGTCGATGCAATCACCTATAAATCCTAAGTGTAGCGATGCAATCGCGCGTTTCTATCGATGCAGTCGCGCACTTGCGTCGCGTTTGCATCTCTGCTTAAAATCGCGCGGGTGTGTTAAGGTCGACGATTAGCGACTGCATCGCGTTTGCATCGTTGCTAAATGTCGCCGTGTGTAACCACTCTAAGGGTAGGTATTCTTTGTTCGTGTTAGAAATTAAGACATTGAGTTATTCATCAACAAAAGGTAACATATTTTTAGTAGCAATAGAGCTCCTTGTGAAAGCGTTCGTCCAAGGAAGTACTACCACCTCATCTATTTCTGCCGCCAAACAGTAATGTGGGCATTATTGCGTTCGGGTTTTGAAGGGTAGTAAGGTGCTGGTGAAATTACACGCACATGGGACTTGTCAACTTGTGCATCAGGGTGACGGATGCAGTGGCAGTGCCCTTCAAATCTTATTTTATTTTAAATTTAATTAAATCGCAATTAAATTTTTGATCGGCACTGCAACTTCTTTGGACATGCGTGTCGCTTACCACGAGGCTCACAGCTAGTTCACCCCGTTTACTTGGTATCACATAAAAAAAAAAACAAATAAAAAGTACCAATTTATTATGTAGTTTATTCATGACTAAAATCTAGTAATGAGCAAACTACATATTTAGTGTTCATTTAATAAACGCAACCGAGTACTTATTAAATTATTTGCAAAACAAAATAAAATTAAGTTTTTGAAAATTAATCAAACTGAATTTAAATAAACAATTCCTTTCATAAATTTAAATATAAACTCGAAAATTAAAATAGCTTTTATTAATAGTATAGAATTGTTTATCTTAAGTGATGTTAATAAGTGATATTTTTCGTGATTGATGAGATTATTGAGGCCGAATGTTCATATATCCGGCCACGTTTCTGGCCGAATATACTATTCTTTTGTGACAGTTACGTGACACTAACGATTATTAAAAAGAATGGATATGTTCCCAGAACCCACAATGGTTCAAGAACCGACAATGGTACAACCAGTTGTACAACAATTTGATGCGCCACAATTTGAAATTCACGAAGACCGCTCAATGACTGTAGCTATCAACACCAAGAAGAAAGCTGAAATTCCTGATGCTACTAATCTAGCACTGGTTGTACCAGAAGACAAAGAAAATGCAAATCAGTTTATAGTTCCTGTTGCTGCCGCACCACAGGTATTTCAAGATTTCCAATTTGGGAGCAACACGCTTATCGATATCGCCATCTTCAATACAATACAAATATTCTTTATTGTACACTAGGACAAATACAAAATAATGCAATAAATAAAAAGACAGGTATTAAATTGAGGGCGCAACAGAATTCGTATTTAAAACACATATTGCACATACGTCTTCATGTTTTTGTATAGTTCGTTTTGTGTCTGTTTAATCTAAACTACGTGTTTTTAAAACTAAGTTTTAAAGTAGTAGTATAAGAATCCAAGTCCAGAACCTAATAGCATAATTTTATTGAAAATGTAATGTTCCAGGTAAATAAAACTGCCTATTACGAAGAACCTTCCTGCACCCAAGTATTCAACTTCAATATTAATGGTGCTAGCACACCAAACATGTCTCAGTTCAAGAAACCCACAAGCTACATTGATCAGTCGAAATATCCATCTGTGCCAAAATTTTGCATCGACGAAAGTATTATAGAGCAAGTAGATCCCAGTGTCGCAAAGAGAGAAGAAAGTTCCCGCCAGCACGTGACAGATCAACATGCTACTGTTGATAACCAAGGTGGTGGACTTTCTGTTATCATGGAAGCGACGCGGGAATACAATAGGTAAGTTTTATTACATTACTTCTGAGACAAAATTATGGGACCTGTATTAATACCTGTACGTAATTAAATACATAAAATCTTTTCCAGTAAATCTGGGTCTACCAGTTCATCAGGTCAATCAACGAGAACTAATGTCACTGGTTATACAACAAATTTTGACTCCATGTATAACCATGATCCTTCACAGCAACCGACTACCTCAAAAAGAACTTCCATTTCTTCCCAACCTAGATTAGCTAATGGACAGTTTGCGAGGGCATTCCCTCAAAAGCGTGAACTTTCGGAACAAAAGCCGGTTCAACCCTCACCCGTGCCTTACCTTCATGATCATCAATATCAGAAACCTGTGTCCTCGAACTACAACGGATATTCGCCTCAGCAACCTATGCAACCTCACTACCAACAAAATTATAACTACCAGCAAAGATATGGGACTAACCAGATTGTGAGTCAGCAACAACCAGGTTATGCGAGTCCTAATCCAAATGCATACCACAGTCCCCAACATGTTGGTATGCAAAGTCCTCATCACGCCGGGATGCAGAGTCCACACCACGCGGGGATGCAGAGTCCACACCACGCGGGGATGCAGAGTCCACACCACGCGGGGATGCAGAGTCCACACCACGCTGGAATGCAGAGTCCTCATCATTCTGTGCCAGCAGGTTTTCAAAGCCCAACCTATTCGAACCAAATAGGTTATCATAGTCCCGGTCACGCCATGATGAGTCCTCAGCACGCATATGGGCGGCAAGATTACAACTATCCGAATCAAACTGAAAGGCAACACATATACGCCAATCAACAGCAGCAACAACAAGCGCAAGTGCAGCAACAACAAGCGCAAGTGCAGCAACAACAAGCGCAAGTGCAACAACAACAAGCGCAAGTGCAGCAACAACAAGCACAGGTTTTCCAAAGTCCCCCACATCAATCTCAGTATTCAAACGCTCAATATTATCAGAGGCCTAGTCAAGTTGTCGCCTCCCCCAATCAGGGCTACAACCCACAACAAAACTACCACAATGTGCATAATCAGTTTAACAATGCTAACATGTACACAAACACTAGCCATAGTCATTCTGGGAACCAAAGCTACAACGTCATGCAAAATTCATATCAGCAAAGACAACAGCCTAAACAAGTTGAAAATGGTTATAGTATGCTAAATGCGAATAATCAATCGTTTCAAATTTACCAAAGCCCGCAGCCAGCACAAAACAATTACCGAAATGTACCAGCTCATGGTGTTGGTATGACACCAGAACAACCTCAAATAGAACAGCATATGAGACAAGTGATTCACATGGACACATCTATGAAAGCACATGAAGCTCACATTGACCAAGCCGGGAATAAAATTAGTCCTCAAAATAAAAACCTCCTTCCGCATAAAAATCCTACTGCGGCACTTAGAAATGTTAGGCATGATCAGCCCAATTCTAAACAAGGGCAAAACTCTTCTGACATTGGGTTTTCCAATCAGTTCCTTAATTTCATATCCAACAGGAACGAACCTAAAGACAACGCTAATACTCCTAAATTCACCAACAGTCCTAGCATATCCCAAAAAATGCATAAAAACCTGTACGTCTCCAGTCCTGAGCAAGCTCAAATACCTCCTTCTTCTGGGATGTCTGACTCTGACAGCAAAGATGGAATGACAGCCCAGACCGTAACTTCAATTCAATCAGCAAAAACTTCTCAAATTGTCGATAAACAGAAAGAGATTTCTAAGAGGCAGTTAGATTTTGAGCATAGGGTAGAATTTCAATCTGAAGATAGTAGGGATTCAGTTAGCAAAGAGAGTAGAATCTCATCAGTGTACTCAAGACAATCCGACATGCAGTCTGACGGGTATGGTATGGATGTCGACAGTGAGAACTCCATGGAGTGCGGAGCTTTTAAATCTACTCACTCCATTTCCCTAGTGGAAACGAGTGATATTCCTAGACCGGCGGATATTGATTTTCCGGATGTGATTGATCCTTTCAATAAAAAAATGCTGGCTTCCTTGCTAGAATATATTAAGTTTCCTAATAAAACTCATGCTGATGGCTACGTTGAGATTCGGTCCGTCCCAAAACTTCAAGTCGGAACTGTTTTCGGCGTGGGTGGACACAAGTATTCTATAGAAAAACAGCTTGGGAAAGGGAATTACGGCGCTGTATTCTTGTGTATGGATCTGCATACTAACAAGTCTGTTGCTGTGAAATACCAGAAGCCCAGTCGACCTTGGGAGTTCTACATTTGCCAAGAGATTAAGGCGAGGATAAAGGATCCTTTTATGGTAATATACTTTTTTCTACTTTTGTGTACTTATTATAAGTTCTTGTGAGGAGAGACATTTTTGAGTGTGGTTTCTGATTTAGCTTCCAGGTTACATGGACATTACCACAGCATTCTTAGGCGACAACGCAAGTTTGTTTGTATCGGAGTACTCCAAGTATGGCTCGCTATTGGATGTAGCTAATAAAGTGAAAGTGGCGACTACAAAATGCATTAACGAGTTTATTGTAATCTTGTTAACATCAGAGATGCTGTCTATAGTCCATTATTTGCACAAAGCGCAGATAATTCATGCTGATATCAAACCTGACAATTTCTTGTTGATGCAAATGTGAGTATTTTCATAATGAAAAATGATGTGTTACCAATTGTAATAATTTTATAAGAGTACACAGTTTTTAGGTTTTCGCGATTATTACACATGGAAATGAATGTATTTTTTTCGTATCTAAATCTGTCAGCCATGACCATGGGATCTGTAAAGGGCCCGATACTGGTTTCTTAGAAAAAAAAAACAACGCAATATAGAAAATACTTTCTTCTTTTTTAGGTTTATATGTTTAACTTCTTATTTGGGACTGTTTAAACCATTCATTTACGCGCGTCTAGATTTCTCTGTCGTCGCTTTTATATTCCGGTTCCAAAAACTATAAATTGCTACTGTACAAATACTCGTAAGTACGACAACGTAATTTTGTTTAAAAAAACTTATTATACTTTACAGACCTGCACAAGAGTGGAGAACTCCATCCCTGCAGCTCATCGATTTGGGTTGTGCTATAGATATGTCTCTTTTCCCTGAAAAGACTACTTTTAGAGAAGTAAGTATAGGAAGTATATATAGGACAAGACGGCTTGCAGAATTGTAGAGTGATTATTTCTTTGTAATTTTCTGAAAATACCTACAAACCATAATTCAATCACATTATTTGCCTCGTAAGTGTGATGTTGCTAGTGGTCTCCATTTCAAATTGTATATATTTTACGTTTTCAGCTAATAGCAACAGAAGGCTTCACATGCACAGAGATGCGGGAAGGTAAACCCTGGACGTACCAGACAGACTTGTACTGCCTGGCCGGCACCATCCACGTCATACTAATGGGCAGCTACATGAAGGTCGCTCATCGATTAGGACAATGGAATATTGACAAGAAATTACCGAGGTAAATGAAATAATTGGACGTGGTTAAGCAATAAGGATCCAATCCACAAAATTATCAAAAAAAGAGTTATATGTACCAAAAGATTCCTAAAGTCTAACCTCTTAGATCACCAATAAAAATCCAACATATAAACAAAAGTTTTGAAAATAAAACAAGAGTGAGAAACATTTTTAAATTTCAAACTGCCATATCTCGGAAAGTGAGTGGATGTGCATTGGGTCTTTTTTTAACTACGTCCAATTATGCCATAGAATCATAGAATGCTATAATTTTGAGACAACTAAGTTAGCCTAGTCTTTATTATACATTGCACTATAAGTTTCCGGAACTGGCCACTTACATAAACAATATTTAAAAAGTAATTACAACATTAGAAAATGAAATAGTTTGGTTGTAGAATAAAATTTGTTTCATCTGACTGTCACTTGTTTTTACATTGTGGCGTCATTTTAGAAATTGGTTGTCTTCGCCATGGATTTAAGTTGTGAAAATTTTCGTAGTTTGATTTTCTACGATTTTAAGTGTAATTTAACAGCTCAGCCGAGATTCGCTCGGCTTCAAACCGCTTTTGGCGATGAAGCACCATGCAAGACAACTATTTATAGATAGATTGCAGAATTCAAACGCGGTCGTGTGAATCTCAGTGACGAATTTCGTGATGGTCGCCCGTCCACTGCTGTGAACAACAAAAATATCGATGCTGTGCGCCGTATGATTAAAAGAAACAGGCATGTGACATACCATGAGATTCGGGCATCTTTAAGTATAGGCATGAGTCAAATACAATCAACACTACACAAACATTTGGGTGTGAAAAAGCTGTGCTCTCGGTTGGTCCCACACTATTTGACTAAGGCTCAAACATCCCAAAACAAAGCAGCATTCGAGCGTATATGTCTTTCGAGATGAGCCGAAGCCAACCAAAGTGGCGCGCGTGCAAAGTGCCTCTAAGCGAATGATTGCTTCTTTTTTTGTAAAAGTGGACACGTGGCTACTGTTGCTTTGGAGATCGTTGTACCGTGAATAGTGATTGGTACACGACCATTTGTTTGCCGGAAGTTATTGACAAACTCCGTAAAAATAACCGTAAACGCCGTATCATCTTGCACCACGATAATGCCAGTTCTCACACGGCCAAACATACAAATGAATTTTTGAAGGTGAACAACGTTGACCTTATGAGCCAACCCGCGTACAGTCCCGACCTGGCACCTTGTGACTTTTATTTATTTCCAAAAATTAAGAACCAGTTACGTGGTCAACGATTTTCATCACCTGAAGAGGCTGTCGAAGAGTATGCAAAATATGTTTCCGAGATTGTCACGGAGGAGTGGCATAAATGTTTTCAAAATTGGTTCATTCGTATCAAAGAGTGCATGCTAACGGAGAATATTTTGAGAAACATTCCGGAAACTTATAGTGCGCCTCACGTATATAAATATTAGTATTTTTTGGAGTAATGTTTTCGTACGTATGGAGTCGGTCAAGGCAAAATCGAGGCCCACATTCTGCCCTGCTTATTATAACTAACTTAATCGAAATTTTTAGCGAAATTGAGTATTTAACATTTCTGAAATCAGCGGTACGAGATCTACAACCCCCAATAAGCGGTTTTTTTATATCTTATTTAGTGTCATTGTCAAGCAAAACCAGCATAATTAATATTTTTTAAAGAAAAAACTGAGTGCCAATATCGCGAAAGTTTTTTTTTTTGAAATATCAAGTGATAGGACGAACAAGTTGTGCGCCTGGTGGTAAGCTACACGCTTGTCCATAACAGTTGCAGTGCCACTCAGAGATTTCGAATTGCAAAATTATCGAATCGCAAAGATCTGAAGGGCCTGTAATTTCACCAGCACCGTATACCCTTCAAAAACCGGAATGCAGTTATGCTAACATTACTGCTTGGCGGCAGAAATAGGTAATGCAAATGCGTTAATTATGACACGAAAAGGAGGGCAGCGTAAATTAACAAATTACGTGTAAAAAAAATTACAAACAGAATTATTGGCATTTTTTTATTGCAGCGTTTATTGTTAACTTGGTTCAGATCAGAACTTCTCGTGTTTGCCTTTATCGTAGACGTATTATCAGAGTTTTATAAGTTAAACGCATAATTTTCCAGGTATATGAAGGTGAGTCTATGGGACAAAATATTTACAACACTGTTGAACGTGCCAGACTGTAACAATCTTCCTGATTTGATGGATCTCAAGAGCGAAGTGGACAGCGTTCTTAACGAAATCGACAACCTCGCATCACAACTTCGTAACTTTGCTAATGTGCTTAAATCTAGGTAAATGACTACCTATACTACTTACTGGCCCTAATTCAGCGGCGTAACATAATATTCTAGTTGTGTGCAACATAAATATTGCTAGGTACGTATTGAATGAGATCGGGCTTAGTAATGACCCTTGCTGGGAGGCCTATGCCACAACTTTAATTAATTGGTAATATAGGTGTTACTAAAAAGTCTAATGAAGGTGTCGGTTTGAACAACTTCAATCAGAAGCAAAAATCTATGTATAAAAATATATAAGAAAATTTGGGACTCTTTTATAACACCTGAATTTGTTAGCAAATATCATGTGAAGAGAATTGTACTTTATTAAAGCCCATTTTCTCTATCAACGATTTCGCCAAAAATATTATCGAATGTCGATAATTGATGATAACTAAATCTGAGCTCTCCTTTTGCACATGGTTTCTTTTATCTTTGTTTGTTTTGTATTCATTTCTAGGGTTGTAATAACGTATATTGTATTGAGAATCCTATTTATTATTGAAATATACACTGATGAGCACTGTAAGCTTGATAGTGGAAACAGTCTCTTATTTTACTCCCTGTCTGGGTGTTCTGCCTGTACAATGACGGTTACACCACTGACCAGATGTATTTATTGCATTTAGAAACAGCGATTGTAAAAATAGATACATAATGTGTTATTGAATAACTGAATAGAAATACAAATTTTAATTATAAACGAGTTTGATGAATTTCAAATGTTGAATATCCTATTGCAAGGTTGCTTATATCTTAATTATAAAAGCCATAAGTATTATAATATTTGATATTGCGACTTAAGTAACATACATTGTTGTGTTTAGTTAAAATGTGATATTGTGATTTTAGTTTTCTAGAAAATGAACTTCGCTTAGATATTAACTTGTTAGCGTATTAATTAATTAATGTTGAATCATTCAATTCTTTGGTTTCATTTATTTTTGTACAACATAATAAGACTTGCACTCTTCACATTTCTTGTTTGAAATAATAAAGATACCTGGTTGGAAGTCATCGTTTGATTGTTCTCCCTTGATATTTTTGTCCATTTAGTATTGAGTAGGGTCAACCTCCAGAAAACAATTAGTGTACACCATCTGTCTGTTATTCATTATTATTCCCACATTTCCCATGGTCTAAAAGACGACTTTTTAAATGGGTGAGCCGATTTTCTCTGGCAACGTTACCGGCGGCTGCGGTCAGTTGCACACTCCCATTTCTATTTGGTATTTTTGACCTGGCATTTTGGACATCCTTAATCGTAATTAAGTTCCTTAATCTTAATTGGTATAATGATACTTACAAAATATAGGTACGCCTTTGTACTCTGATTTTTTTACTACATTTCCCTCCATGTGCGCTCTAAAAATTTATGTTGTTATTCTACTAACATGCCTCATTATTATAATGAAGGAAACACGGAAAAATACACTAACCAAAACAGGTAAGAATTGAGAAATTCAGATAATATATCTATATCTTTTTCTATTGGAGTGAGATTTCATTCAGAACCTGTGTTGTTCCTCATCACTACGACCATTAATCTGCCGCCGTTAGTTGAAAGGGCGCATGTGACATTTAAAAACAAATAGTTTGTCACAAGCGCCCTTTCAACTAGTAATCATAAGAGAACAATTTCTGCCTTAGAGGATGGAATCCGCTTTTAGTTGGAAGTTGGCAACAGCGGCAGAATTGATCTATTATGGTTACTAGATACAGAACTGATGGATTCTCCTGGCTTCGGCTGCTTTGACGTCCTCTGGTTGTTGCGTGTGCCATCCCATCTATGGAGTTTCGTACGCCCATCTTCGACCTATCGGTGTGCCTACAATAGAAGGCAACCTAACCTTCCAGAAAAGGCGTTTGGTTCCCAGTTTTCCCTGGTTGGAAATGTTTGCTTGGGGAGCATGTCATCCGACGTAGGTAACTCCCAGAACAGGATGTTTGAGAATTGAATCTTGGTTTGATCTCAATGTCTGGGAGAGACATCTAATTTTTTACCAGACTTCCCTGTATGCCCTAAGCCTAGAAACTGACCTGACCTGGCGGCCCTAAGGGTCTCTCCGGGTTTAAGGGACATAGCCCCGTTGCGCACGCGATATGCTCTATAGACTGCCCAAGTGGTTGCTTGGTTGACTTTGGCACTCAAAACAACAGAGGTGAATGTGACTATAAGCTTTTCAATCGTCTTACAAAACCAGAGTCATCTTTGATTTTAACCCACAGCACTGTCCCGCCGTCATTCAACTGAAGATAGGTCCTGGTCATGGCCAACTGTGTTCCAGTTACGAGTTTGATCTAGTGTTATGGCAAGGTATTTGACCTATGTGGAAAAACCTACAGCCATGCAACTGAGGATGGTGTCGACTAGATTGTCTACTTGCCGCTTCCTCGTCTTTTCTGCAATTATTAGATCGTTATATGGGCGTGACTATCTAGTACCTTCTCCATTGTCTTTAGCATAAGAAATCTGCCTACCTTCGGTATAAGACTACACTGCACGTTGTCCATTGCAACGGCGTGTCCCCAGGCAAGACTGTCTCTGTATATCTTGATCAGCAGATATGGCAAAAGTACACTTGGTACACACGTGGCCAGTAGAACAGGTGAGGGTACAGGCCTTAGTACTCCTCCCTGGGCCAACTGCCTCCGTGGCCGAACTAGCAAGGTAACCCCCCTTGCCGGACTGCCACGCAGAGTTCCCAGGTTCGATTCCTGGGCCGGAAGAAATATTTGTATGGCCTACATTTATTTCTCTCGTGAGTTTGGGTGTAATTTGTGGTTGTTTATGTGTGTCTCCATGGCAACCGCGACACAGGGTTTCCCTAGTGCGGGGCTCTGTTGAGTGTGAGCGCTATTATTATTATAATGCGAGTTAATATTTTCGTTCACCGAAAAGCTCATGGTACATTTCACATTGAATTTCGCACGTAAATTCGAAAAACTCGGAGGTGCAAGCCCGGATTCGAACCAACGGCCTCTGCTTGAGAGTGAGAGGCGGTACGTAAAACCATTAGACTATCACGCCACGGCTTAATAAGAGTAAGGTGGGTGTAATACGGTACTCACCTTGTGACTATAGTAAGATGGGTGCAATACTGTACTCACCTTGTGATTTTATAAATTGTTTAAACGAGTTTATAGCCTAAGTCATGTCTTATTATATTGGCGGCTCTATTCCAGGTCTCAGAAAGTCAGCAGACTAGGGTTTTTGTCGTAGAAATCAACTCATGGTTGATGAGAGTTGCTCTTGGCAAGCACTTTGAAATGCACTAGTGGTTTCCTCCATGTTTTTGGCTTGTCCAGGTGAGATTGTGCACAAATTAGTATTTATTTTTATTAAATAAGTATATATACTTACTATATATATACTAACATAAACATGTATATAACTACCATTTTTTTAATAAATGGAATTTGGTAAAGTATACATAGGGGCTGACAATGTAGTACAATAAAACTTGAATAAAACAAAATAGTGAATAAAAAATATTTTATTGCTTACACTTTTCAAGCCTCTGTCTTTTTCTTTCCTGGTATTCCTGTACATTGTCAAACCTTCTTTTGTACAAAACTTTTATAGAATCATTAGATTCTTTATTGAGTTCTGAAAAATCTACATGTGCAAACATTTTCACTTTTTTACTTAGTTGTAAAGTTTTATCTTTCACAATACTGAAGATTGTTACTTCACTATCTACATTATCATACAAAAATAGTGACGAATTATGAAATTTTATAGCAGAAGGACATCTCTCCATTGTCAATGTATCAATCAACTTATGACTAAATTTATGATTTACGGTTTCTAATTTATAAATAAGTAATTTGTTGAAATTATGTACAACAACAGAAAGAAAACAGGAGTTCTCATCAAATTTTGCAACTGTATAATGAACGATGGGTAATGTGATAGTCTCTATGCCCTCTGTGTCCATTGTCTTGCTAAATTCTTCTTTTAATTGATCATCATTCACATCTACATAAGTATCAATACTGTAGCACAGTTTGCCTTCAACATAATCCCAGATTTTTATATGACCATCTCCCGAAGCGCTTGATACGTATTTCTCATTGTGTGGCAATATTTCTATATTTTTCACAAACTCCTTATGTCCAAGGCAGTATGACTGTATATTATAAGTATTAGGGTAGCATGACACTCTGATTTTTTCATCCCTGTCACTTGTTATAATAAATTTATTGTCAGGTGTTTGTAATACGTCTAAAAGCAAGCTTAAGTGACCTAAAAGTTTAGTTCCCGAGTCCTCCGTTTTGATATTGTAAATGAGAACGTCTCCGCTTTTATCGGCGACTAATATTTGCTGATTATCAGTCGTAAAACGAATCTTACTCGCACTTCTAGGTAGTAAAAATGTTTTGTATTTTTCAGAAAAGGGGCACTCGTACACTAGTAACTGTTTGGATACTGATGTTATTACAGCCATGTGTTGACCGTCAGACGACAGTGTTACATCCGATATAGCGTCATTTTCCTGTGATTTAGCTTTCTGCGGCAATTCGATAACATTGTGGTTAGAATAGTCGTAATGATCAATGTAAAGATTTCTCACTACGACAACACCCTTGTCACTTACTGCCAGAGAGGTCATGGTTCAAACAATTTTTTTGTTTAGGTTAACACAATAATCGCCAAAAGTTACAGGATTTTGGGCACAAATTAGAAAGATTACTTATAGGATAAGCAAATTAATTAATAGAAAGATAAAAAGATTTGGAATGTAATTGTGAAGGTTAGGTTATAGTTTTTTAAATTCCTCCCGCTAAGGAAAAGGCAAATGTTTAAAATCATCAGCCAAGTCGTGTGTTTTGGAACTTTTGGTACATTTTAGTTTAAAGGTCGCGTGGCAACCAGAAACGTTCAGCCTTGTTGGTTGATTATGTACACACGCCAGCACATCAAGCTACACTTTGACGTATCTTGTTCCGTTGCAGTGGAGGCGATTTTCGAACAAAAATGTATAGTCTGATGTGCCGTTGTCCGTACACTGTTGGGTAATTTTCAGAATAATTTCAAATAGTGGAAATTTTTCCTGAAAAGTTAAAGGCGTTTCTTTCTTTCTTTCTACGTTTAGAAATATGTTTTGAAGTTTTACTTTACGTGAAGTAGAAAATAAACTTGTTTAAAATAATAACCACACAACCGAGATATACAATGATTTCACAGCACCGAAAAAAAAAATGGAAAAAGTCAGACGTGGAAAATTAAAGGAAAAATGTTGGAAAAATACTCAGAAAAATATTTCATTTCTGAAAAATTGATTTTTTTTCAAAGTGGAAGAATTTGAACTGCCAAAACAAAGCACATTTTTTTTATGTGCTAGAAAAATAATCGAATTATCCATTGACTTACAATTATATGGACGTCGGGTCCGCGCTAAAAAGTGTCCGCACTTGTAAGGCGCTAAAATCGTATACAGAGCGCGACACTCCGCTTTAGTCTTCATTTGTTCTACGGACAGCGCGATACTGCGATGACATAATAATTTAAATTTCGAATAGGTTGACTTGGGACATTTTTTTCGTGGTTTTTGTATTAGACCCGTCGTCCATTTATTTTTAAGTCAATGGAATTATCTTATTTTTTTCCATCTATAAGCGAATTATAGATAATTTGACGTTGACGTGTTTTTGACGTTTTAAGGACTGTGTTGTGTTGTGTTGGCGTTCGATTCGATTTTGCTTTTATGCTTTTACTTAATTTCATCTACTAACCTGTAATTTAAAGAAGTATTAAAAAGTATATTTAATTGAGATATGGCTGCTATGATATCGTCTTGGAATTCAGAGAAAAAACATAGTGATGTTGAAAGGTTTGTGCGTTGTGTTTTTTATTATCATCTAAAATTAAAGTATATTTTCTGTACTGCTGTACTATAAAATGTTAGAATTGATAGAAACTAGTCTGTTATATCACGTTAGAGAAAAAATTATGTTAATTGAGGGGTAATGTTATTAATAACCTACAAAATTCTCCAACAAACATTAGATGGATATGCATATATCCAGCGTACCTGAACAGCAAAAAAACGTTGGCCGAGGGTCGACGGCTTCCCAAGAAGTACTGCGTGGAGAATCCGACACACCAGGAGATCAGAGATGTACTGGTTACCACTGGCCTGCGAGTTGGTGTTGAGAACAAACTGTATCCTCGAGAAAGGAGCAAGGTACCAAATTGTTTACGATTTTAGTTTTTCCTTAAAAAAATCGATATTTATTAACGGACTATTATTTTTCTCAGTATTTAAAAAAATGTTTACCTTTATTTTGTATTGTATTGTGTTTTCATATACCTTATTTTTGTTTTTTCAGGAAATGACATACAGAGGTAGGATCAGAGTGCAGATCAAAAATGATGATGGCACACCACTGAAGCCGGAATTTGCAACTAGAGAAGATGTTATGCGATACATCGGTGATAGCATTCCTAAGATGAAGACTCGACAGAATAGGTTTGGTTACCTTAGGTTTTAAATTTATTACAACATACAGGTTATTTGTAAAATGCTAACAACCTCACAGGACTATATTACTAACTTAAACAACAACTTTTGTCTTATGATTTTTACAAAATGTAATAAATTTACCGAAAAGAAACTTTAAAATTTTATTGTACTACTATCTGATACTTTTTAGATCTCTATCGGGTAGTAAGGTACTTAGTTTAAAAGTGCAAGTGTCCTCCCTGATGACCCCCATCTGCGCTTTTATGTTTTGTACAGAGTTATCGCTGTTTAGAGTGTCTATTTAAATATTTTTGTATGAATGTAAAATGCGATGAATTATTAAAAGATATGGAACAAAAGTTGTTGCTTATGATGTTAGTAATATAGTCCTGTGAGGTTGTTAGTGTTTTACAAAATGTGTATAGTTGTGTTGGTTAAAATCTAAAATTCTGTGATTTTTAGTTAATAACACGTTCAAGGCATCAAATTTATGACTTTTTTGTTTAAGATGATTTAAATATTTTTTTTATATAAATATTCTGTTAAGGCACTTTAATTATTATCTGGAATTGCTTATTATACATGTTTTGTTAAGGAGAATGTAATTATTACCAATACCTTTTTTTTTGCATAGGCCGGCTGACCAACAACCTCAGACTACACAGGCTAGCAACAAAAGCAAAGGGAAGAAAGGGCGGCGATAAATTATATTACTCAAATTATTTGTTACAAAAATATTACAAAATACATTATATTATTAAAATATAAGTTACAATGACAATTACATTTAATTATATATTATCCTTATGAATCATAATTTCTGTTGAAATGTTTTTTAAGAATGGTACCGAATAGATTTTTCAGCAAGTTTATTTGAGCCATTTTTATCTCTAGCTACACTGTACCCATCAATAATTGTGACATATGGTGTGTCATGTTTCGGACTTTGAAGCATAATCATTGGGTTAGACAAATCCTTAACAGGTATCACTGTTGCATTTGCTTCACCAGCTTTTTTATTTTCTGCGGTATATGTGCCATTTCCGCTAAAGATTCGCTTATCGCTGGAGTTATCGTCTGGGATATGGATGATGCTTTTTTCATAAATTTCTTTGGATTGTACAGATTGTGATTTTTGTCCGAATTTATCCATGGGTGGAAATCCTCTGAATCCTGGAACAAATTGTGGTATAAGTGTTGTGCTTTTTGCTTCGTCTCTTCCCATTTCGAGCTCAGTTTCTCCTTTAAATTTTGCGAAGTCTCGTCGAAAGTGTCTAAAGGCGTCTTCATTTTTGAGTTCTTTATTTGTTTCCTGGGCTTCTCTATAAACTGGACTTTTGGTACCATCTCGATCTCCGAAGTCTCCTCGTATGTGTCTAACGACTTCTTTGTTTTTGAGGTTTTCATTTGTTTCTTGGGCGTCCGAATAAACGGGACTTCTGGCACCATCTCGATCATTGTGTAATCCTCGTCCTCCATCGAATCTTCTGTCACTCTCGAATCCATTGCCACTTGCATACTTTCGTGTATCACTGTAGGAAGTTTCTTCATAATCTGTTGAACTGGAGCGATCTTCTCCGTGTGCGGTATCACGTTCACTATTTCCATTATTCCCGGAGATATTTCTTTCAGTGCTTGTGTTATGTGTGGAGCCGCTTCCTTTACTGAGTCGAAAATCGTCTCTCCCAGAGCTATAGGTATCTCTTGTAAGTAATATGGGTACGTCCGAATTCGATCCGAGATAGCTGATGTCACTAGGGGCAGCATTATCGGGGGTCGTGCTGGGAATCTCGGTGGGGGCAACAGCGACTTCGGTAACAGTCGACTCCTTGGTGCTAATCGTGGTAGGAGCAGTTGTCTCTTTTGACGACTTAAAGTTTGCAGGTCTAGATTTTTGATTACATGTGCACGATGATTCATTTTTGTCTTTATTTTGGCTGCGTCTAAGTTTAATCTGACTCTGCTCGCTGTCACTTGACTCGTCGAAATCTGAGGGAAGCATATTATCAAACAGCTCACTAAGGCTCCTAAGAAGAGGAACGTACTTCTTATTATGTTTCTCATTTCTGTATTTTTCTTGCTGTATTGACTGGTACCTGCGTTTATGTCGAGGCTTTTGCACAAATTTCAATGTCCTCGGCTTCAAAGGACTCTTGATTTGAAATCTTTTTCTGAATTTCAATAAAGAACTCCGGGGTGAAATAGTTTCTGTAACATTTAATAATTTATTAACATTTGAATACTTTGGAGTAAAACAATGTTAAGGTGCAATTTTTAAAATAGCTTACCAGGTAAATTTAATTTTTTTGATTTCCTTGGCTTTGATTTTAGTGCTTTGTTGAACGATAATCGTTCCGATGTATCTGCAACGGCAATAAATCCAATTTTAAAAGGTCATATGCTACATTTCGTTCCATAATGGAGTTGCTCATTCTGACAGAAAGAGTTCGTCCAGGTAACCTTACCTATTTCTGCCGCCAAGGATTACTGTATTCTGGTTTTGAAGGGTAAGATGCTGGTGAAATTACAGGCACATGGGACTTGTCAACTTATGTCTCATGGTGACAGTGCCCGTCGGATCTTTGCGATTTAAAGCTTTGAGTGGCTTTGCAACTGTTATGGACAGGCGTGTAGCTTCCCATCAGGCGCACGACTCGTTCGTCCTGTCACTTGACATTATAAAAAAAATGATTAAGATAAATCTTATACCTGATAATATTGGCCGCTTTATGTATTCAACTTTCTCTTTCTGCTTCGATTCTGCAGCTAAAATATCGTTCAGTGATACCGATTTTGACACCAAGTCTGCCAATAAAATAAAACAATATAATGAAACCTTGTAAAAATGTATATAAATATTGATATGATGCAAAGTAAATGCAAATGACATTGCCAAAATACTTCATCGTACTAAATATTTCGTCGTGTAGGTATACGTAGGTAGGTACTTAAAAAGATTTGAATAACGACGATTTTGAAATAACACAATAACTTACCAGATTGTTTAGGTTTTTTGGTTTTGCGCAGCTTTGACTTTAATACTTCGTTGAATGAGATTCGTTCAAACGTATCTAAAAATGGAGAATAATTCAAGGATGAAAGTATTTAAAAATAGAGTTTTGTGCGGACAACGGCACATCAGACTACATATTTGTGTTCGAAAATCGCCTCCAGTGCAACGGAACAAGATACGTCAATGTGTAGCTTGATGTGCTGGCGTGTGTACATGAAATTTGATTGTATGGAACATAGAATAGCCAGCAAGACTAGAATAACACTTGAAGTAATTAATAAATTATAAAACAAACTTGGTAGTGTTGTAGGACGTTGTGTAGTTGCAGTTTTCGGTTTTTGCCTAGATTCCGCCGCTATAATGTCGTTCAAAGAGACAGGTTTTGCAATCAAGTCTGCAAATAAAAAAATATCACAATTTATTAGAGAGTTACAGAAAAATTTCACACATATGAAGGGACTTTATGCAAAATCTAGAATAAGTATGTTTACACATCACTATCTCTCTCACAGATCTCCCATAACTAAATGATAGACACCTATACTAAACTCCGAATATGTTTCCCTTTGGACTCCGAGCTCAAGCAGCCCAATGGTTTAATTATTTGTACTCAATTAGCTGTTTGGTGAACTTCGTTTGTTTTTTGTTTAATACAGATCCGATGACCTGTTAAGCCGAGTCGTCGAGTATATAAGCAGAAATAGAGACGAAATGTCAATTTGTTTGAAAACTATTCTGCCAAATCATTACGGTGACAACTGCACTCTAATTCGCCAGCTCGAATTCGAAACAATTGACGGGTGTCGTCAATTGTTTCACTTTAATACGACCAGTTTAACTTGAGCTTTGCTATAATGGACGAAAATTGAAAAATTACATATTTAATTACCGATGAAATGTGATTTCGTTTGTTTTGTAATTAGATGTTTTGCTGTTTTTCCCACACCACCGAATGGAAAAGCCCGCCATAGAGATATTATAAATATTTATTACAATAAATACAGAATAGTTTTAGAATATACGCCGACGTACACACAGGTCAGTTGTTGGCGCTGTACTATTTCAACTTTCTAATTTGTGATTTCAGTGCAACCGAGAGTTGATATTTAAAAGTGATATGATATGTGTGATATGATTTTATAGTGCTCATTTGCCTGATTAGTTGCCAGGGATGGATGGCCCTTATTTCATCTCCATTTCTGGTTACATACTCGATGAGTCGAGTACTGAGGTGTAATTGTATCGTGACAGATACAGTAACGGGGTTCTAGTGTGTACGCTTGAAACAGTCTTCATTCGCTAGAGTGAGTACTGGTTATCGTCGGTTCACTGCGAACCGCACGCGTTTCGCTCGCGGCAAGCTCGCGAAACACGTAAGTACACACTATGATTTTTGGTAACATAACATGCAACGGTTACGGTTACATACTGCTCGCTAGTGAGTACCCGCCTTAATGAGCCGTAAGCCCTCGTTACATACTACATAGTTCAGTATCACAATAAAAATAAGTACAATATTTGACACGCAGTACAATTTAAAAATACAATATGGAGACATAGCTTGTGTTGGTATTCGACTACAGCCTAATATATATATAATATATAATAATAAAATAAATATTTTGACGTATTTCGACTACACGGAGGCTCGACATTAAAAATATGAATTTAAGAAATTTGATTTTTTTTAATTGGTAATGTAACATGATTGACTAAACTTAGCTCGATAAAAAAAGCACAGTTCCGTAAAATTTTACTTTTTTACATTGACTTACTTTTTTATAACATTTATTTACTGGAAAATCAATTTCATTCGATTGTTATTATTTATTTATTTAATAAGGTACATCCACAGAATACGCATTACGCATTCCTAAAATAATCTAATTCTAATACATATCTCATTAAGGAGTACACATTAGATTAATAAACAATTTAAATTTGAAATAATTAGAATTGGATTCATACGACTATAAATTAAATTTAACTATTGTTTAGGAGCTATAATATGATTTTACACCATCAATAGGCACTTACTTAATATATACTGAGACATAATATTTCCATGAATGTTCCGTAATAAATACGTCAGTTGACAGTGAACTTATTTTATAGTAAGAGGGTATATCGAGCCATGACCGCCGACTTATCGTAAACGACATTTTTACCTAAATAGCGTTTTTTATTGCAAATGATATTTTAAATATTTATTATTATTTAACATTATGTATTATTTAATATATTTAAAACGGACAAGGACGCGTCGACATTTCCTACGAAAATTACATCAAATAAAAATTAAGCAAAAGCTAAGTTTATCGTTACCTCAAATGTTTTTTATATTTTAACGTAACGATAGAATCAATATTAAAAAATCATACCTACCTGCCGTTAGGTTGAGATAGTAAATCATGTATTTATATTATTATTTTTAGGGAGTTCAATGTTTCTATCAAAGAAGTATTATCTTGTAATACTTATGAATATTATTTATCCAAAGAATTACGATTTACGCACGATTGGCAATACAAATAATTTGGTTATTGTAACTGATGTTTAAGGTTCAAATTAATAACTAATACTCACAGGGTATTATAACACAAATAAGTACGGCGTAGATGTTAAATTTTGAGATTTCCATGGTAAGACATTGTAGGCTCTATACTCTACTGCAACGTTGTTGCATTATAGTCACACTGCACTGCGGTCGGCTGCTTCCAAATCGCAGATGTTATAATTTTTTTTATATAGGCTGGCGAATAATTAATATTGTTAGTGAACTCTTAAATTCTTTTAGATCGGTTATAAGTAACATAGAGTTGAATTTAAAAATGAAAAGCTGTGCTGTCGACGTTACCTTGACCTTTTGTGTGCAACAAAATAATTTCAATTTTCCTTTGCAGCACTGGAAAACGGAAATTATTAATTGCAATTGATAATTAAGGTTTTTTGTTAATTTGACATATCAACATAATTACATATAACATTACATGATTACATAACTGATTACCTACATGTCGCACTGTATCGTAATATGTTTCCGACTAGAATTATAGTATCATCATTTTTATTTTATCAATGTCATATCAATGTCATAATATTTACAATGAAATTTATAATACAATGTCAAGAAATTATGTGAACGTTACTTTAAAAATTAATGCTATATAACTAAAAAGAGAAATATAAATAAACACATAATATTGTCAAAATACAACGACGGCACATAATAGTATCTAACAGTAGCTCTTCACTAAATCAAAATGCCGAATTATAAAAAAAAAATTACATACGTTAAATAAAAAGTTATAAAAAATATGATTAAAATAAGTAAAGAACAGTTGATAAGTGTACTCACAGACAGCGATTCTTACAATGATTTTGAGATATCTATTTAAAGCCGTCATTAACAAAATTAATGAAGATGTAAAGGGTTTACGAATTGTCTTTCACTTTTGATTGTTAAAATGAGTTTTCCATTTGTTAAGCACTCAATATAAATTGTATTTCTTAACCTTGTACGAAATGCTGAGACAGCTTCGTTGTCGTTCATGACGCATTGTCTTATGTGTTGAATTGTATTGCAAAAGTCACGTTTGGTATGCTCTTACGGAAATAAATATTTTTGTTGCACATGCATTGCTACTGGTTACTATTTTTAACCGACTTCATGAAAGGGAGGTTCCTTTTTTCTCCCATATTTATGTAGCTACAGTCGCGTTTTTTTATCTAGAGTTTCATAACTACGGTAGCGGTAGAGCTCCTTGTGAAAGAGTTCATCCAGGGAAGTACTGCCACCTTGCTTATTTCTACCGCCAAGCAGTAATGTGACCAAGAGTAAGGGTACTGGTGAAATTAAAGGCACAAGGGACATGTCAACTTGTGTCTTAGAGTGACGGGTGCGGTGGCAGTGCCCTTCCTATCTTTGCGATTTAAAGCTCTGAGTGGCATTGCAATTCCTATGAACAAACGTGTCGCTTACCATAAAAAAAAAATTCTCGATATGTTATATATATACAGGGTGCAACTGTAAGTAAATATTCAATGTAGAGTTGTAAAATCTCTATTCTTCGTAGTAAATAAATCAACGGTCCAAAGTCGAGCTTGACGTGTTCTTGACTAAAGATAAAGATAAATTTATTTCAATATAACTCAATCTAATACAATACACTTAAAACAAATCTTAATAAAGCTATACCGGGTGGAAATTTGTAATGTCACCTGGTACTCTAAATACTGGAGATAGCAATTTGAAAAAGGGAACATTCCTTTATTTTTTAAAAGAAATAAAACTGCATTCATAGATTTTCGAAAATTTCTAGCAACACGCGGGAATCGAACCGCTTTAATCTGAAAAAAATGCACCCTGCACTTTTATTGCATCGATCGATAGGGTTAATTATAAGAATAAAATCTCTGTCACAAAGTTGGTTAATCAAATGAAATAAAAACCATGAAATCTTAACGTATAATAATAAATGAAAAAAATGGTAATCTAACTAATTAGTTGCTCGAAATGAGCTTCACAATTTTGGATACACAAATTTAATCTTTTAACGAATTCATGTTGAGTTACTTGTATTACAAATCATATTCTGAACCCCAGCTTTCAACTCGTTTACACTTGCATAGGATTTAAGGTAAATTTGATTTTCAACATATCCTCACAAAAAAAATCTAAAGCGGTGAGATCTGGTGATCTCGCAGGCCATCTGATTGTGCCGTGTGTACCAATCCAGGTATTAAAATGGTTACTAATGTAGGCAGTAGTGACTCTGCTGTTATGGGCTGGAGCGCCATCTTGCTGCAGAATTATTCGATTTCGCTCTTCCTCGGATAAAACATTTAACTTATTTCTTAAGAGATCCAGTATTTCAAGATACTTGACAGTATTCAAATGACCTTCGTACTCGTGGACTAACACAACCATATTTCTCATAATTCCGCACCAAACGTTGAAAGAGAATCTTACTTGATTGTTAGTTTCATGAACATGAACAGGATTCACTCGTGACCAATAATGGTTATTGCGGCGGTTGTACATGCCGTTATTACTGAAGTTGGTTTCGTTAGACCATACAATGTTACTTAAAAAATTCGGGTTACGACCAACTTCTCTTAGCATGTTTTGACAGAATTGAAGTCGTCTTTCGCAATCCCCAGGATGCAATTTTTGCACCAACCGGCCGTCACGATAACATTTATACTTATACTTTTTAAGCACTTGGGAGTACGCGAGTGTGGTTCATTCCAATATCTTCTGCAGCATCTCTGCTTGAAGCCTTTGGAAATGCTTCGAAGTATTAACACAAAAGTAAGTTAAAACATTAAGATCGAATTCGGAATAGTTCTGTAGAACAGTTTGCCGTCGCTTTTCGTAGCTACCCGTATTTTTTAAATTATTTACCATTCTTTTCAGAAGGATTCGAGTTGGTACTTGTCGATCCCGATATCTCTCTTCATACCACCGCAGAGTTAAATTCACATTTTTGTTATTTAAAAAATAAGCGTCCATTAAATCAAATTGTTCTTGATATGCCATTTTTACGACACAAATATGAAATTTATTTATTTATAGGAAAATTATCAGTTGGCCAAAGAGTGCATTACAAACATGTGCAAATTGCAATCTTCTTATCTAAATAGCACTTCGTCATTTTAATGAATAAATGACGTCAACGATAATTAACAAGTAATCTGATGGACCTTTGAGTAGAAATGCTTTAACTTGACCCAATGAATTTATTACTCCAGATTTTATGGTTTGTAGAGAGATTTCATCCTCATAATTGACCCTATCGATTGATTTAATAAAAGTACAGGGTGCATTTTTTAAAAGATTTTAGCGGGTTCTATTCCCGCGTGTGGCTAGCAATTTTCGAAAATTTTTGAGTGCAGTATTATTTCTTTTTAAAAATAAAGGAATGTTTCCTTTAAGTAAGAATGTCTATCTCCAGTATTTAACGTACTTTCCTTCCAAGTGGCATTACAAATTTCCACCCTGTATGACTATACGAGAATTAAAAAATGTAAAAAAAAAATATATTTGCAAAAAGTTCGCTGTTTTTGTTTTCTACCCGGCTGACGATTTTTTCAAATATAAAGGTGATTGATCCCAAATCGATATATACCTATTGATGTTTAAATTATGATATAGCCTATTTTAGTTCAAATAATTTCTGAATGTATTCGACACTGGAAAACTAAAACGTCTAACGTGCATTTCAAAAATATTAAAGGAGAGCGATTGAAATTAATTTTTTTAAGAGAAAGAAGTCATAACTCTAGTTTTATTGAAATTTGTATTGAATTGACATTCAATTATTTTTTGTGAAATTATTCCTCTAGTTTGTTATGATTTATAATGCAAAGATCGAACACTTAGAAAGAATTCCTTAGATTCGACCGGAGTCGGCTAAAAAATCGTTGAAAAACCAAATACAAAAGATCCGACAACAAGCACGTAGAAAAATTCGTGAGGTCCGCTGGTTCGTTCCGTGACTTAGTTGGCACAGCGTAAGTGACAGAGGTCTGTGACCTTGTATACCGGCTGATCTGGGGTCAGAACCTGAACTTGTAAGATTCCTGTGCGCGCACAGGTCATAGTGCCCTTCCTGCATAACCAAGAGGTTGTTAAGGAGGGGCACTATGGGGGCACTATAAATAAAACTTATGTAGAATGATACGGGACAACTATATGGAAAAGTAGAAAATTTTAGCTTTTCCATATATCTAATAAACAAAATTACAGTTAATATTTTTTTTCTTAAAGTATTACTTTAAATATCTCTCTTGTAATATTTTGCAAATGTACGTTAGACGTTTTATTTTTCCAGAGTCGTACTGTATATTTGCTTATTCTTGTTTAAGGCTAAGTAAGATTAAATTCTCCAACTTAATTTTACCACTAGCATCTTTAACGTAGGTTTCCTTCCTATTTAAAGCAGATAAATGATATTTAATTTATTTGGCTGAAACTGCTTCTCTATCTCTGAACTCTATTAGGCTTACAGTACATTCATGTTTGAATTCTATATAACATAATAATAAGAAAATTAAATTAACAATGCACACATCGGACAAATTTCCATCTAAAGTTGTTATTTGAGGTCGTGACACGCCGGTTTATTTGAATTCACAGTAAGATTAAGAAAACTAAGACAAAACGATATATGAAACAAATATATTACGCTTTTAAACTTTACCTTTTTAACTGCGATGAATCAATTTACTAGGTATTTGCATACATAACTATTATCGTAATAAATACATTTCCAGGAATTTAGAATTACAGGAAATAACGTTATCTAAAGTAGCAGTTCTTTTCGTAACATAAACCTAGTTTTAAAATCGATTAAAAATAATATGCAAGGTAAATTCTTCTTGAATGTGTATTGTTTTCAGTTTAGGTCTGTAATTTAAGGTTTTATGTTAGTATTTGGTTGATTATTTCCATTTTGTATGAAAATATATCTTCATAGTCTCTATAACGACCTCGGTGGCCCAACGGCTTACACTATGGGTACTGGATGAGGACGTCCCCGGTTCGATTTCCGGTAGGACCAAATTAGGGAATGAACTTTTTAAATTGGTTCTGGTCTGGGCCTAGTCTCGGT